GGCGGTGAAGCTTGAGCTGCTCCGAAACATTTTATTAATACTCACGCAACTAAGGTCTGAATACTTTAGTCAACATCAGTTCTAGTTTGCCTGACATATCCAACGTTTGTCCAGCAACTAATGAGTTATCAAACGACGCTAACCTTAACTTTGTACGTCTCTTAAATTTGACTCATCTCTCTCTCTTTCTAGTCAGAACCCTTTGATACAAGTCGTTTCCTAAATCTCCCATCAGAAGACTTCAAAGGCTTAGACTAGGTATTCCTAATATTATTTATGGTTATATAATACATATTGACATATAAAGTTTAGAGTTCAAATAAATATTTTTAAGAGAAAGAATACCACCTCAACCTCGTCTTCCTAATTCATAAATATGTAAATATGTATGCAAGCCAAAATCCAATGAAAATGTAATTAAAGGCGATCATAATAACATTCCAACACTGCCAACAAACCAAAGCAACAACAATAATAAATTCAACTGCCACGCAGCGCACAACGCGCCAATCTTCAGCCAAACAAGCTAAACGGAAAATAAAACAACAACAAAATCTCAAAAATATTAAAATTGAATTGAATAAAAAAAAAAATAATAATCCAAAAATCCACAAAATAAAAATTTACCAACGAAAAATTCATCAAAATAAGAAAGTGCAACATATGTTTAACGAGGGTCTAACACTTGTCCAGCCTACAAACTCTCATGCTGATTGTGGGTATATATGGAAACACTAAAGCAACCCTTACCTACTCAACGTCACGATCAAATCAAAGATCACCTCAAATAAATACTTTTCACGGCGTATAGAGGATAACTAAGAAATACTCGATTTACAATCAAATAACAAAAACAAAATGTGATGGAAAATGTAACGGACGAAATCTCTCTGTAGTTTGCAACATGAGGATCACTAGCGATCACCACATTAAATTTTCATATGTATTATTTTTCTGCTTTGAATGAAAATGCAGAAACTCACAAACGCAACTCAAATTACCTTAAAGGGAAGAGTGGAAAACAAACAAAAGATTTATGAAAATGCCAAAGGCTCCAGAAAATTTATTTTACTTTCCCACGATCAGCATAGTAAATATTCATAGGGAAGAGAAAAAGTGCGCATAGAAAAAAAAAGGATATACAATTTTTGTGCATTTTATATTTAATCTGCATTATTTGCTCTACACCAGTGTAGGTAGAGCGGTATGCGGGGGAAAAACAAAGAAAGATATGCGTGGAGGGTAGGGAAAAACCTTTTGCGCACACGTGCAAGGGATCGTTCAGTTTTCAGAAAGAAAAAAACAGAAAATAGAAAAATCAAACAAAAGCATCCGCAGAGATAAATACGCTGCATCAGGAACTGTCTCAATGACGCGACACCTTAATAAATACACTAATTGTTGGTGTAACAAACGGTAAGGTTGGGAGAAACCATTAGCAAGCAGGTCGCAGGTAGCGTGAAGAGCACCAGTGGAGAGTAAATCAATTTGCACCTGCGCATTAACGCATTCTGATTGGACAGCGCGCACGGCAAGTTCCACACGCATGTTTAGCACTCAAATAGGGGTTGTTTTCCACACAGGCGCAAGAAGGTATATAAAGACAACTCGCCATGAGACAGGACATCATTCGTAGCATTGCAAGCAAACAAGCAAGCAAAGTATTACTGCGCATATTTGAGTTTTTTGAAAACTAACTTTTCGAAGAACTACGTAAAGTTTCAAATAAAAAAAATATATTAAAAAATGTCATACGCTACACTCTTCAACACTTGCGATATGCACACTTCTGCGGCGCAAAACAAACCACAGTACACACCGAAGAAGGCACTAAAGAAGGCAGTCAAATTGCTGCGTCGTATTTTTCGGCCATCAACAACCGGCAAAGTTATCATCACAACACCAGAGAAGGTAGAGAAAGTTTTGGTGCAATGCCAGGAAAAAGAGTCAACGATGCTACATGACATCAGCACGCTTACCACTTGCTCAACACTCAGCGCCGAGGAGTATGAGAATCAACTTAATGAACTCGCAGAGTTAGAAATTACAATTAAATTATTTGGTACTGCGTAAGCTGCTGACGTACACTTCACTACTTTAGTTTAACGAAAAAGGATGTTTCCCACAACATCGAACTGGCAAACCGCTAGTGCCTTGAAGGACCTGGACTCGTCCCTAAACTGCGCCACAACAACCCAATTAAAACGCTTTATATTTGTCGGAGCTTTAATAGTTTTTAGGTGATATTGTTTAAGCTTAAAAAAACAAAAACAACATATGTATATATATAATGCAGTTGAACTGCAGTTGAACTGCTCTTCATGCATTTTTGTGCCTTAATTTTTGTCTACACATCCGTTGACCAGATTAGAGCAATGCATTGTTGGCGTACAAAGCTTTAAAATTATAGAAATTAGTTTAGTGGTAATCATTTGTCTTCCAATTAGTTTTAAGTAGCAAATAATCCATTGTCTTCCATTTAGTTTAAGCGAAAATTTATAATAAAATTCCATAAAAACCGAAAAAAAATTTTCTTAATTAAAATATTTTTAGTTTAATTTTCACTTTACTTTTATGATATATTAAAATATGGAAACTTTTGCGAAACTAAGGTACACAGAAGGGGATAATAATAATAAAAAAATATGTCATAAGCAAAAAAACCGACGATTTTAAAAAAAAGCAAAAAAAATTTTAGAAATTTTTATATTTTTACTGGTTTCTTGAACAAGGATTAAGCATATTTTCAAGGCTAATTACGAATAACTCTCAATACAAATACTAATTTAATAAGAGCAAGAAAAAATATTCCTTTTTTAAATCCAAATGGCGGTTAAAAATTAATAAAAATACTAAACAAATTTTGTTTACACCGCTAAGATTTCTCGCTCTCGTTGGATGGGTAAGAATGACAAGGTAAGGTTTTCTCTGTAATTTGTGAAGTGGATTGATCTTAATATTAGGTCAAGTAAAAAGTCATCCATTATTTTTACAATATATGACTTTAGTGATCTGTATCTGACGTTCTATGAGTGCGATTGAATTATATTAAATGACGATGGTATTTTGTGTTAAAACAGATAATGGAAGAAGTGCTTGAACTCAGTAGTCTCTGGGCGCATATCAAAGATCGACCCCAGCAAAGTGCTATATTCTACATTTTTTTTTTATAAAAGCAAACACGTAAGTCATGCAGCTAAAAATGTAAATATTTCTATGGCACTGAAACTGCAACTGTCACTGATGCACAATTTTTATTTTGTCGATTTCGATGTAAAAAATACTCCACAGTGTGGATGGCCATTCGCCGGAAATGACAATAAAATAATAAAAATCTCGCATTTTACCGTCATGTGATCACTACTTTGACTGTCCAAAAGTTAAGCAAGGCACAGGAAACAGTTTAAAATCAATTGCAAATACCACTTGGTATGAAAGGAAGCTACATGAGTGGAGGAGCAAAAACTTCATGGACCGAATTTCCATCTGCGAGTCGCTGCTGAATCGTAACAAAATCGGTTCATTTTTGAAGCGAGTGATGACTGATGATGAAAAGTGGCAAGATCAAATTAAAACGGTTCTCGTGGAAGGCACAAACAGTCTCTAAATCAGTATTATTGGCCAAGAAGGTTTTGTTGTAGGTTTGGTAAGATTCGGGAGGAATCATCTAATATAAACTGCACTCCAAAGGTCTAACTTTTATTTCGGAAGTGTACTGTCAGAAATTGCAATGCTTGAAGGTAGCAATTGCCCAGAGGCGCACGACTCTTTCCAACAATTGGAGGAATTGTGTTTCACCATAACAACGCTAGACCCCCACAATTCTCGCCAGAGCTCCGAGAACTTGGTTCTATATTCTAATTGTTGTATAATGATAAAAATAAATTTAAAGTTAATTTTTCTAATTGCGATCGCCCCTCGATAGGGAATGTCATTCCATCAGCTGCTAATTCTGAGGAAAAAAAATCTACTCACACAAATCCAGGTGCCGTTCGGTTTAATTATATTTTTTTTACTTTTTATGCCTTTGATGGCTCTTTAATGGTATACTAACTTTGGTCTGAAATATGTAGATACCGAAGGGAGTAGATTTAATTCATTTTTAACAATCGAATCAGAATGAATGGATTAAGTTCAGTTGCCATGTTCCCCTGTCTGCCTGTTTGTACGCGAATTAGTCTTTGAAAAATATTTCAACCAAACTTGGTACACAGATACACTGTTATATTTAAACGATTATTCATCGGTACCATCCAGATCGGACCACTAAAACCTAGAGCCCTCATACAATCGATTTGTTCAGGTGAGTTCAGTCCGTAAATACTTCAATAAAGCTTATGAGCAGATAAATCTTGGTATTCTGCTCACATATAATAAACTGATCATTGGTACTGCAAATTATCGACTTCGGATAACTATATTTTATGGGGCTACCAGCGATTTGTGCGAATATGAGGTTTTAAATCAAAAGTTCGTCTAAAATGCTTCTAAGAGTTCAAAATTTTGGCATTATAAGCACGTAAATTCAAAAAATAATTGGTATTGAAAATCATCGCAATCGAAAAGTATAAAGACGTCAGCATGGCTTTCCTTTCTTATTTTAATATTTGTAAGTGATGTCCACTCATCATCAAATCTAGTCTTATTTGCTTGTCAAAAAGAAATCTAACTCCATAAATACAAAATAAATATATGCTATTGTAAGTGTGTAGACTCTTGGAGCAATATAGACATATATATGTACATATAAAGAGGCATGCAACCACTTAAAAGAAGTTTGTGCTCCCTAAAATGCAACAAAAAAAAAATAAAAAAAAAAATACAAAAAACACTGCTTTCAAATAATGATGAAATTCGAGCGACAAAAGGAATACGAAAAAAATTCCTGCGCTGATTGGCGAGCAATTATCTTTCGCTCTTTTGGGATACCCAACATAGGGGTTGTTTAGCGTATGCGTGAAGGTATAAATACCGTGCAAACCGAACAGCAGAACATCATTCGTAGCATTGCAAGCGAGCAAATAACTACTGAAAGTTCCATTTTGTATTTCTTTTGTGCGAAAGAAAAAAATTTAATTTTCAAATAAAAAAAAAACCTTAAAAATGTCTTACATTGCACTAGTAAACACTTGCAATACCGCCAGCGCTTTGGCCGAGCAAACTGTCAAGAAGCCAAACTACACACCCGGCAAAGCATTGAAGAAGGCCTACCAACTGTTGAAGCGCGTCTTCAAGCCATCATCAACATCATCAGCAACAGCAGCAGCAGCAACCGGCAAGGTAATCAACAGCGGTGAAGAGCAAAGCAACGTCTTAGCGTTGGAAGCAGCGCCATTGCGCCACGAAATAGTTGAAGCAGTTGCAACAACCACCACACTCAACGTTAGCACACTCACCACTTGCTCTACACTCAGCGCCGAGGAGTACGAGAATGAATTGAATGAGTTGGCAGAGTTGGAAGCCGCAAGCAAATTGCAGATTGCTGTGTGATAGATTTGTTGTTAGCTGCACCGCTGCGGCATTGATATTCATGGTTGGCTGCTTTATCACAATCAACCAACTGGCAAACCGCTAGTGCCTTCAAGGACCTGGTACGTCCTTAAACGTTACTGCTTTAATTACAACGCTGAAACAGAGCTTTAATAGTTTATAAGCGCGCATGTGTGTGTGTGTGTGATGCAGTCAAACTGCCAGCGTCAATTTCCAACGGCCCCTCAATGGCTTTTGAGTGTGTCGCCGTTGTCTGAGAGCTTTAATTTACAAATAATCATTTGTCTTCCAGTTAGTTTTTAAGCAAAATTATTTTTTCATTATTTTTTATATTATTTGTGAGCAAATAAAAATATATTTTTATACAAAAATTACTCTAACTATTTTGTTTGAATAATTTCTTTAATTAATTTAATTTAAGGACTTTGCTGAGAATTTTTTAGGAACAGTTTAACATAAATTATTTACATGATTCTGAGACAATTTATCGATTCGAAACTGTATCTTTTTGCGCCTTTCTTTTCTATAAATTCGGGTGGTAGTGTAAATCATTCAAGAATTTAATTCGAATTTCATAATACGAGCTATGGAGATTTGAATAAATTTTCAGTTCAACGGAATTTTACTTACTACGGGTAGGTGAGCTTCAGGATTTGATATTTTTAAATAAAATCTTATTTTACATTGCGAACAAAGAATTTCTAAATCATGTTTAAATATAACATTTCGTTTTATATGATATCACATATCACCACATCACGTCATGCGGCATGGCATCATTTGATATAACATCATATCACATTATCACATCGAAACATATCACGTCACCAGTCACGTCGCAGGTTACACTTGCTTGTTTAATACTACGTTTAACAGTGACATTTTGGTCCTTTCTAGTGCATCACTTCGTATATTATCGCTTTTTACGAAGCTTAAGTGATCCTTGATAACCAGTTCCTTCTAGTTCTCTGATATCCAAGCCGTATTCTCAATAAGACAAGGCAGTAACAGGGCCACAACTGGCCAACAGCCCTTTGTAGGTAGATGCCGTGAGCAAAATGCCGTTGATAATATATTTGTTTTTTATGAGATTTCTAGCGATTTTAGCTAGCTTAACTGCTGCTCTTACTGCAAAAGCCTCAATAGATCCCGGCGGGTCAAGTCAGCAACATGCTATAAAAGTGTTCTCTGTGTAACCTTGGAACATCATCAGATCACAGCTCTTGTTCTTGCAAGAACATGTCTGAGTCTTTCGTGTCGTTTATTGCGGTTAAATGCATTTTATTTGAAGATACAAATGTTTTTCCCAAAAAATTCAAAGAGCTCGCAAATTGCCAATGAACATCAAAGACTATAGTTTCCATCGGTCTTCCAATAAATATATCAACAGTCAAAAACAGAATCGATCGAGACAGAGTACCCACATATAACGTGGCAATTCACAGCACTAGAGACTATAAAATAAACCCTTGCAGCGGTCTTAAGGCGCTGTCATGTGATGTTAGTTGATGTGACTATATTGGTAACTGATGGGCCGATGACGAGTATATCATTAGATGTGTTTAAGAAAATCTGGCAGCTCACAGCATTACGGTCTGTAGAAGTTTACATATAACAGCCTTTATGTGATATCATATGATATGATTTTGCTTTACTAAGTGATATGATATGAAAGCATATGATGAGACCATATATCGTGAGATGTATTCATTGCCTGTAGGAAATGACATGTAGCAGCCTTTAGACGATATTATGTGATATTCATTGTCTTTAATAACTGATGTAATGTCCATATATTGTGTGATGTATTTAGAAAAATGTGGTATGGTGGTGTTGGTGGAATAGTGTGAGAGAAAGTAACATGTAGTAGTATAAAGGCTGTATCGTGTGGTGGGAGGTGATAAAATTTTTCTATAATAAGTGATATTATATTAAGGCATATGATGTGTCAGCCAACAGCCTTACGTTGTATAGAAGATAATACATAGCAGCTTTTAGGTGATATCATATGATGTGAGGTGACGTGGTTTTTCTATAATTTATAATTAGAATATATGACGTAATGATGTATCGTATGATCAATGTAACTTGACGTACCACTACGATATGTATTTTAGTTTTTGATATATTTTCAGATCATTTACCATACTTTTCAGGAATGTCATAAGTAAAACGATTACTTTACGGACTTAAAGTTAATTCTTTCATGGCTATTGATCACACCTAATCTAACCTTATTTACGAATAATGTTACAGAATATCATTAGAATGAGATGAGTAACTCTCAGAGATAAATAAAAATTAAATGTAATATTTATTGTGACTGATTCTAATAAATTTTTTTTTAATTCTTCAGGTGAAGAACATTATTTTTATTTACGATACTAAGACAAGATGAGCCTTTTTTCTTTTTCTTTTTTGCATTAAAAAATCCAACAAAGTAAAACAAAAGTAACAATATTAATTGCGTAATAAAGTTATACAAATAAATACAATAAAAGTCAGCTAAAAAAGTCGCTTGAAATTGAGAAAGAAAAAATGACAAAAGAAAGGATTGCGCGAACATTAATCGCTGTTGTTATTCTCTTGCCCACAAAAGTCATTAAGGCTAACAACAGCAGAATGTGTTAAAAATCCCCAAAAAAATAGCAGCATTAACCCTTTCAACGTTCTCCGAAAAATACCATAAAGTAAAGAAAAAACGTTACATATTTTCGTACATAAATCGTATGTTATTTACGCTTCCAACTAAAAATACAGCAGCAACCCCTAATTTGCTAGTGACATATATAAAAAAACAGACAGCGTAAACTCTAAAAATAAACTTGAAACTGAAAAATTAAAAAATAAAAATTGTTTGGGGCTTCACAGCCTCAGAAAAAAGAGAAAAATACCATATATTGTTATGTAGATCCAAAAAAAAATAAATAAAGATAAATAAAAAACTGTACAGCATTTAGCGTACAGCGTCCCTTGTAGTTAATACTCAACCCCTCGCACAAAACTCGCCCTTTCCCACACACCCGAGCTGCCTGCTAGTGCTCCCTTTTCACGTCGAACGTGCTCAATATAGGGATAACCTGTTATTTTGATTTCTTGCTTTCAGTGCTGACTCGCTTTTTTTATTTTTAGTTTTTACTTTTTTATGTGTTTTTATCTTCTACCACTTTAATTTTTTTTATTGTTATTTTTCTTTCGCTTTAGTTTTATGTCATTTACGTGCCTGTCGTCGATTTCTCTCCTGCCATGTCGCTACAGGGCTTCTTCACCACGAATCCTTTTTCATGCCTATCTCGTCCGTTAATAAATTTTGTTAAATTCCAAAACAAGTTTGACATTCACGTAGTGAATAAAAAAGATAGAAAAAGTGAATTTTGTTTCAGGACAAAAAAAAATAAGTGAAATTTCTACAGCATTATTATGTTTAAGAAATAGCAATGATGCTTAATGGGGTAACCTGATTTGCGGGCAATTGGATATGTTGTGGTGTAGTGTACACTGTGAGAAATCGTAAGAGCATTTTATATTAACTCTACTAAATATTTTCCCAAGAGTTGAGTTATATATATTTTTTTGAGGTCTCCTGCTCTTTCCTAATGAACAGAAGGCTCTTGGATATCGAAACAAAGATTCCTTTGTTCAGAAAATTTTGTGTGTCGCAGCTCTTAAGAGTTCCAATCAATATTTTTAGTAGAGAAAAAGGTTGGAATTTTACTCTAATAATTTTCAATTTTTTTTTTCGAAAACTGTCGAAGAGTTTTCTTATTCAAATTCTATAGAAAAGTTTACTAAATGTTGGAGTACAATAATCTTAGAATACAAGAACCTTTATATACTTCCTATCTGAGAAGTTCAGGCGAGAAGAGGATGATCCCGGTTGTCTATATGACGCTTGTCAATAGTCACATTACGTTTTCGCTAGAATCCAAGAGTTTGGGCATGTCGATCTCCATCTGCCAACTCAAAATTAGAGAGTTATTGCTCGTAGATGCTACCTTAAGATGAAAAAGTCTCAATTGCTGCATTGTAATCAGCAGAGTGTGAGTGTATGACTTGGATATTACTTAGTCACGAGAAATTATCTAGCTGAAAAGGAAGGAGATATCAACGAGTATGCGTCTTCACAGGGGACATCTGCTATTGGTTATATATATATAGAGCGACTAGGTGGCTTCTACAGGCGTTCTAGAACACGAGAAAGAACATAAACCCTTAGGATGCTTACTCTGTGAAAGCTACGTACTTTGAATAAGTAGGTTAAAATCTCGAGGACGGCAAACTTTAAGGACTTGAGCAAGTAAGATGGATTACACAAATTTACTTACTACACACATAGGTTTGACAGGTCTTTCAGAGGCTTTGTAGTTGCTCAGTGGTTTTACAGTCGACCCGCATGGTGTCTTGTATGTACTAATACCCAAAAAGTACTACAAACTAGCACAATCTCACCTAAATTCATTGAAACTCAAGGAGCTCGGCACTTAAGCCCCTTCAAGCTTATTTTTCTCTCGGTGTACACCAATCAGTCAGTGCAACATTTCAAATTCATGCAAAAAAAAAAATAAACCGAAAACCAAATTAAACCAGAAATTAAAATGAAAATAAAAAATAATAACAACAACAATGGAAAAATTCCTTGAAGAAACACTTGTGCTGAGCGAAGCCAACTAAACGGCAACATATGGTAAAGATATTAATTTACACAACAACGAAGCGCATAAAAACAAAAAATGCCACAAATAAACGTGCAACACACAACAACAGCAGCATAAACTACAACCAACAACAAACAGCAGATCGATAAAAATAAATAAATAACACAGAGTCTAAAGAGAGCACAGCAAGGATCGCCGCCTTCAGCAGCAGCACCAGCAGCAGCAGCAATATCTACAGCAAAGGATCAAATTAAGCAGGACCAAAACAAGGCACAAAAGCAATTTGATTTAATAGCGTGAAAAATACGTTCCCACGCTACGAAAGGAGCGCACATGCATATGAGATCCACGGGCACAACTGACTCATCATCATCATCATCTTCAACCAAAGAAGAAGAAGAGAAAGAATAAGTAGATATGTGGCAACAACAACACAGCGGCCGCATCTTCTTCTTCGCAACGACAGGATAATAATAGTGACAAGTCACGTAAAATACGGCATGGCATGTTAGCAGCAAGTAGGACCTGCATGACAAGTAGGGCCAAGGATCAGCGAATCGAGCAAAAAATTGGACAAAATAAGAAAACCTTTTGCTTTTATTCTTGTAATTTTTCTTTTCTTTTTGTTAAATCTTAACAAAGCCTGCGAGCAGTTTCCCACGCTCCATTCCCAACGCACGTTTGTATGTACATCTGTAATGATGGAGATTTCGCAAAAGGACCTGCACGCAGGTATCTTTCAAAACACTAACGATCCTTAATTTTTCTTATTTGCTGATCCTTGCCGAGAGAACACGCACACAAGTGTACGTATGTACGAATGTTTGTGCATGCACGTGCAACAAACAACAACAGCGCATGCTCTGACTCTAAGGGTATCTCATTGCAACACATCCACCACCACCATCAGCTCGAGCTCGAGCCCATGCACACACTGTACTTGCTGTCTGTAATGCTTACTGATGCTTGGGAAATTTTCTTGGCGCGCACCTGCCGCTCGTACCGTCATTCTGATTGGCTGTGAGATGCTGTGCGTGCCTATGCGTGTTGAACGCTCTCACATTTCTTGCACCTCAGCGCGCAGCGTGGAGAAAACTATAAGAAGCACGTTGTGAATTGGGAGAGATATCATTCCCTCTTGAGCAACGCAAGTGGCAACAACGAAGAAGAACGCTTAGACACGGTATCACTTTGAACGTAGACGAGCTAAAAATAAATTTCTGACTCCCGTCAAAGTTCAAAGTTAAATTGAACACAAGCAGCAGCAATTCAATACTCCACAATACATTTCAAACGAAGCAATCAACCACATTCAACCACAATCGAAATGTCTGCCGCCTACGCCACCAATATGTCTTCAGCGCAATATGATTGTAACAACAACAATAGCTGCAACAGCAAGAAGCATAACAACAGTTACTATGCAGCCACCGGCACCAATGAATCGCTGTTACTACAACACAGCAACATCAAGGCCCAACAACCCAACCCACTGCACCAACACTGGACCGACGTACAGCAGAAATCGAAGGTATCACCCTCACGTCGCCTCAAGAACTTGCTGAAACCACTACTCGGCCGTGTCTTCAAGTCACGCACGAAACGTCAGCAAAATCGCAACTCCTACATAGCCGCCTCGCCGAATGGCGAACGCGATGCTGATTTCGAATGGCTCGCTAATGAAATGGATAATCGTGCCAATGAAGATCTTGAACAGAAGCTGGTCGAGGAGATGCACATGTGTGAGGATGGCGCAGCGATTGTCGTTTACAATGAGGATGGCACGCATCGTCTGCAAACGATTGAGAAGGATGAACTCTATGTGCCGGTGCATTTTGCGCGCACCAATGCCGGCACCTTCTTCTGGACCTCACTGCAACGTGAGACTATGGAGCCGTATAAGATACAATGGAACTTTATGGATCGTTGGGCGCAAGCCTAGAGGCAGCGGAAGCAGCATTAAACGAAGGGGACTAATGTGAGCTGTAGCACTGAAATTGTAGGGAAACAAAAAAAAGTGTTTGTATTCTGCACATTAAAGGGATTTTCAACGACTGGCAGGCGTGCGCACGTATCAGCAAGCAAGGTTTGGTCACTACGACCTTGTGACATCTGTGCCTCGTGGCTGTTGGTTGTGCAAATTGACTTAGAAGTTCAATATTCCGTTTTGTAGTTTATATGTGGTGGCTTGTGGCCATCAGTAGGCAGAGAAACATTGTCAAAAAGGCTGTAAAGTGCTTTGGTTGAATATTACTATTTTTCAAAAATGAAAAATATGTTAACTATTTCTCAATAGCACTTATTTTCGTAGGGAAAATAATTAATAACACAATTTTGTAATTTTTTTATAATTAAAAAATATATTAAAAAGTTGTGTGGAGAGCTCCTAATTGTACAAAATAAAAATATTTTGAAAATTTAAAAAAAATTTATCTGTTTTTTTATTAAAAAATATTTAAAATGAAAAATAAATAATTTTCATTACAAAAGATTTATTGCATAAAAAAAAATAATATATACGAAAAATGTATTCGCCTTTTTTATAAAAAAAAAAAATTAACAACAAAACAAAAAACAAAAAACAAATAAAAAAATTATTAAAACTCTAATTTTTGTATTTTCTCTATTTAACTTTTCATACGTAAAAGAAAATATGGGTTATTTATGCCGAGTGAAATAAATATTTGTTTTTTTACTGTCGTGATTTTCGTTTGCGAAAAATTTTATAAAATAAAATTTAAGATATATATTGACATATCAAGTCCCACACTAAAAATTATGCACACACCTCATACGAAAATCGCTTCAACAGCTACAAAGCGTCAATTATGGGATGGATGTCTGAGTGAAACTGAAATAGAATTCATTGCTAAAATGAACGGCAAATAGATTTTTTTTACTTTTTACCAACTCTTATGAGTCTACTCGACCGTAAGTATGAAGTCTTCCAAGTAAAAAGTTGTATAACAAAATTAAATAGACCCTGCCCTGTGTCTTTCTATCTTCACCAACGTAAAGCTCCACTCTCAACTTTCGGTCGCCTCTCCCAATTACACTTTTCGTAATTCCCCCGTAACTCAGTCCGGCACGCGTAAGGAATTTATACGCCGAAAAAGTCCTAAAAACTTTTTACTATTAAACCATGAACACAATTTCTTAGAATAGACCGATGCCTGGTCCACTTTCCGAGAAAAAAAAATAGTGTTTATGTTAATCTAAATGGCAAGCTTACATGTGCTTCAACTAAATTCACTACCTTTCAACTAAATCAAACCAATCTTTCCGGTAACACAAGCTGACGCACCTGAGTCATTGTGCTTCACCGTTTATCTCAATTAAACGTTTGCAAAAATTTCGCTCAATTTTAAAAATTGTTTAAGTTTCTCGCCCATGTAAGTGGGCACCAATAGGTTGAAGTTGAAAGCATCATGTAATATGTAATGTCTCAATCGACCTTCCGAGCTGATCACTCACAAAGGTATGCCACAGCGTTTTGTCATCTTCTAAACATGCTCTGCATAGAGCCTATTCCATTTTACCTACCTCATGGAGATGGTAATACAGGTCCCGTTAATAATAAGATTGCTTAGTTCTTTTTTGCTTGATACAAGTAACAGTTTGATCTGCCTATTATACATGCTTCCTCATTTTAATTTAGTGGTACGTCTTATTTTGCAATACCTTAAGTATTTCTCAATCATCCACTGTTTTAAAGAACACTTGGAGACGCTATGGGATGTGAGGCAGTCGAAATGCGATCTGATAAATATACCAGGATTTATTGGTATTAAATGGTTTAGCTTTCTTAAAGGCTCTTCGACAGTACTCTCTTATGTTTTTTTAGCTCCGCCGTCATCCAAAGTTTGCCTAATGTAGGTCCTCACGAAGGCAAAGGGTACTCTTCTTCATATGCAAAAATAATGCCTTTTGTAATTCTTCCCAAATACTACATCGAACTCAGCTCTTCGTATACCAAGTGTCGATTTAGTGACCGATCGGATCCGAACAGCTGTTACATATTCGACCCAATTAGTTTTGGTTTTGTTACGATACATCGGTAGCTGGGAACCCTCGATTTTCAGGTGAAAGTTAACGTAACTCATATCAAAATATAATAAATAAAGTTTTTAATTTTCGTTAAGAATAAATTTCCCTCACTCTCAGTTCATATTATAAGCCATAAAGCATCTAAGTAGTTCTGTATCAAATTATTTTTTCTAAAAATTAGTTTTCAATTTCATTTTGTGTTTCAAAGTGACTCAGACTTATTCATTTACTACGAATATAGTAAAAAAAAATTTATCGAAATCGTATTATTATTTTATTTTAAAGCGTATAAAAGGAGCAAAACATTTGGCTTTAATAGGAAAAATTTACAAAATACCGTGATTCAATAAAAAGTTATTATTATTCTCTTTTTCAAAGCATTTTTGACGCATTACGAAAATTACAAAAACTCCTGCTAATTTTTGCATAGGAATCTCTTCGTTATCGCCACACTTTGACGACTGCCTCGAAAGGAAAATGCAAAATTTTATGACTTCATTTGCATCAGCAGTTTCTGGATTTTTATTTTTTTTATTTTATTACTACTATTTATAAACACATATTCACACAATTTAAAGCGCAAAGTGCACATATGTATTTATGTATTTATGTATTTATATAGACTTTGTTATGCAACCTGTGCTTATGTGCATATTTTACATACACCAAAACTATGTACAACCGTAGGTGCATAGCCGCAAAACCTCACTTGCGCCTCGAGCTACACTCAATTTGCTTGTGATATCAAGTTTCCTTAACAAAAACAATGCGAAAGCTTCAGCGGCAGAAAATTGCAAACAATCAATTATAGAAAATTTTTAATAAAAAAAAAATTGTATACACGAGGAGGAACATTACATTAAAAGGCATGAAAGAATGCATGGAAAATTCAGAAATGGTAAAAAAATAATATTGGAATTTAAAAAATGTACGAAATTTATTCAAAATTTTTTAAGCAGAAATACTTTATGAAAAAACATTAAAATAGATTTAAAAGATTATTTTAAAAGTTTCTTTTGTATACATTTTTTTTTTTTTAGAAATTAATAAAAAATTAGTTAGGTCATTTGCTCATTTCTGCGATAAAAAATAAAGCAAACTGATAAAGAATTTGAATTGAGTGTATTTTCTTTAGAGCTACTGTTATCTTAATTGTCAACAATTGAGCAAATTAATAACAGAAAATATTCGTACAATCATTTCGCAATCAAAAATTCCTGATAATATTTAAATGCGAAGAGAGTATTTTTCCTAACCAATAATCAATATGGAAAATTTTGAAAATATATAACATTAAGCAAAATATTAAACTAAATAAGATTAAAAATAAATTATTTAAATTAAAATAAAATTAATGTAAATTAAATAAACTAAATTAAAATAAATAAAATAATTAAAATAAAAAATAAAATACTAACAATATATACCACAAAAATACTGATAAATAACATAAAGATATTATATTATAAAAATATAAAATGTTTTAAATAAATAACAATATAACAAGAAAATAAATAAGTTTAATGAAGTTGTAGTAAATTGTAATTAAATAAAAATAAATTAAGACAAAAAATTAAAGTAAAATTAATGTAAATTAAATAAACTAAATTAAAATAAATAAAATAATTAAAATAAAAATAACAATATATACTAAAAAATAAAAATAAAAATATTAGATATATTATAAAAATATAAAATTTTTCAAATAAATAACAATATAACAAAAAAAATAAATTTAATGAAGTTGTAGTAAATTGTAATTGAAAAAAATAAATTAATACAAAATAGATTAAAATAGAATAATTTAATACTTATTAAATAAAATGATTTAAGTATGAAAATTGTATAAATTAAGTTATAATAAAATAAAATTAAATAAAATTACGCTAAGCTCAATCAATTAAATGAAATTAAATTTAAAATTAAATTTTATTTAAAATTAAAATAAATTATAATAAAGAAAATTTTAATTTAAAATTAAAATTACGTTAAATTCAAGAAATTATTTTTTGTTATAAAAATTTTATTATAATTATAATTACAAAATAATATTAAAATCTATAAAAATGTAGTAAAATGAAATAAAGTATCAAAGAAAAGTTAAAATTAATTACAATTAAATATAATAAAATCATCTATAACATCAAAGCTTTGTGCTGAATGACTGACTAATCAATCCACAATCAATTGATCGTAGAGTTCTGAAACGTATAAAATGTGTATTTTTTGAATAGATAGTTGAATTTTTTGGGATATGGACCTGGAACCGAACTATTCAAAAGAAAGTAAATTATTTTTAAATTGTTCTACTTGCATCAAATTTGGTACATAAGTAGTTATCTGCCTAAATTGACATGGCGATCACTTTTTCGTCCAGGAAATGGATTTGGCAAAATTTAGTGTAGCGATAATTTTTGGGCCCACGTAAATATGGTGAATATTTTTTTTTTTTTGGGAAGTGGGCCTGGGCTGATCTATGCGAAAATCTCTTGCTTATTGTTCGATTTACTTCAAAATTTGGTGCAGAGGTAGCTTAGAGTCTAAATTTGGTCCCGAATCAATGCGATATTTTGCTTTAATAAAAAATTAAACAAAATGAATGTAAATGAAAATAAATGCAATTTTATCGCTAAAAAAAATTTTCATCTGGCATTTGTACATCGAAAAGCTAAAAAAAGAGAATTCATAAGAAAAATATTTAAAGAAATTCCAGCAACGACTTCTTCTCCCTTTTTCACTTGAAAACAAAGACAATTTTTTGTTGTGTTCATTTTCAACTTTATTTATTTATTAAATTTTTTTGCTTAATTTTTTTTTTATTTATTATTATATTTTTCAAAAAAATATAGATTCTTATTTAAAATGACACAGCTTCTTAAATAGCTAATTGTTAATTTTTTCATATTAAATAATTTGCAAAATTTTATAATATAATATTAAAAATAATTTCAATTATTATTTTTTTAAAATTCACAAATTTATGCATAACAATAATGGAAGACTTTCGAAGATTTTGTTGTTATACATAAAGCTTGCGTTGTATTGCATAAAAATACAGAAAAATAAAAGTAAATACATACATATAAACGTAAAACTAAAGCAAACTAAAATTTATTAAAGCCAACTTTTCTTTTTTTCAATTATTTCAAAATTATTTAAAAATAAATGTTAAACTATTTAAAGCTTCGTAACGCACGCAGAAATCACAAGCACACAGTTTACTTTTTTTATAAAAAATATAATATTTTATCAATACACATACACACACAAACACATGCAAACATAAATCGAAAACAAAAATTAAAATTAAGATAAAAAAATGTATTATTGCACTGTTCCACAGGATATAAGACAGCTTAGTTGCTAAGACCGCGCATCATTACGCTTTCTGCTGAGTTTCAACTCGAATTTATTTCGCCGCAAGGACACGAGTCATCCAACCGCCTCTCTGTCAGCGCAGCGCAGTTCCATTTCGATTGCATTTCATTGCTTTTGCTTAGTGCTCAAAGCTGCTAAATCCTTTCTCTGCACACTTAAACTAAAAACTCGAGGAGTTGTTAAAGCTTGTTTAAGACAAAACGCTCCATGAGCTTTAAAGCTTTGCACCAGTGGTGAGTACGAAAACAGCAAGCACAGCCTGGATATCCTTTTCGGCAGCAAGACATGGCACACGACAGCTAGTAGATACATACAGCAAAAGCTACTCCATTGTAGTATAACTGCCAATTCAGCCGCACAGCACTTCAAAGTGCAGAGTACACATACTGTGCATACTTTGGGCGTGTGCGCGCGCCCACTCCATTCTATGGAGCGCGCTGGTCAGCGTTCACGGCACGTCTGAGGTCGTCGCTGCAACTCGCGTTGTTCATTTCGTACTGATCGCGTCGGGTGCGTGGCAGCGAAATTTAAATGGTTCCGAAATGCGATAAAAATGCGCGGACCCGGTCCATGTGAGTGAGTTTGTATTGTAGATATGTACATATACGGGTACATGTATTAAAAAAATAAAAATATTTGTATGGATGAATAAATAAATGATAAATATACACAGAGAGTACATGTAGAGTGTGTAGGTATGTATATACATATGTATGTGTATGTGTGCGCCCCACACCACACACCAGCAGACACATAAAATAGCAATCAAAGCCCTCGGCAAACACCAACACCGCCGACAACTTTAACGGCGGAACAGTCATTAAAACGACGACAACAACAACAACAACAACAACAACAATAACAATAACAACAAGTGAAAGAGCAAGAAGAAGAAAAAGCAAACAAACAAAATTTAATACATAATAAAAGAACAAGGAAAAATAAAAACAAAAAACAACAACGTTAAGATACGCATGCCCGCGAACACGCGAGAATCACATCAACAACAACAAACAAATATGAATTCTGAAGAAAGCGATAGAATTGACTGACTTGACTGCCTTGTCGTTTAACTGCCTGTCTACTAAGCGCGTGTATGCATGTGTGTAGCTCACGCGGACGTGCTATCTTCTCGTCCATATGTACTCACACTCAGATGTGTGTTTATCAGCAAGCGATAAAAAATAAATAAAAACATTAAAAAAAAAAATCGTCAAAGAATACCACAACAGAGCTCCTCGTCAGAAATGATGACGATGCTGTATGAAAGTACAAGCAAACAAGCGAATATATGTATGTATGTATGTATGCAGGTTTATACTGTACATAAACTCAGATAAAACTCGGCTTTCAATAATGGACCCTTTCAGTGTATGCTTCTTTCGTTCGTGGGGCCACAACGACTTTTGTGCGATCACATGCTGTCATAGCACATACATACATACGTACATATTATATATACTGGTAAATACAAAAAAATTATATGCATAAGTATGTAGAAGAAATGCATTCCTAAGAAAAGGGGGAAGGTTGTAAGCGCGCATGTAAGGATAAATCAGCAGTAACAACAACAACATCATAGGGGGTATATGTCTGCATGTGGGCTTGAAGACGTTATGCTTATGTACACATGTACATACGTCCACGAGAATTCGAGCTCAGTTCTATAGGCGCTATACTGATAGCAATTGTATGTACATAACTATGCTGTACTTTAGAAAGTACTTTTAATATTGTACATATGTAAGTTCAATAAAATATAATTTTTCGAATGTTTTAAATATAATTCTGCGCTAGAAAATATACAATTAACTGCTGATGGTATGAGAAAATTCCAAATCAGTGCAATTAAGCTCAGGCGAAAATATAACTTTCCAAATAGCTGGGTTCATATTCAATTATTCAGCGCCGTTTATTAGAATAAAAAGCTGTTAACTCGAAAGATCATAGCCGCTACTTTCTTTTTAAGGCAATTCAGCGCAATTTAAAACTAAAAAAACTACAAAAATCCCAATTCAGCTGTTAGAAATATTCTAAAAAATATCAAAACCCACAAAGTTAGGTGCGTTTTCAACAATTCAGCACAGCATATTAGCACAAAAAAGTGTCGACTAGACAGACAATACCAATTTTTGTTTGGAAAATGCAGAAAAATAATAAATTTAATATACTCAGATGGGTTTCCGGCCATTCAGCTCTTCATATTAGAATAAAAATTATTAATTTGGAGGAGCCTAATGCCTTACCACCTTTCCAAGACAATTCAGCGCTAAAAATAATATGTTGAGCGATGCAAAAACATAATTTGCAGCGGTAAAAATGTAATTCCGCTAAAAGTAAATCCAAAAAAAATGTAAATTACAATTATTCAGCGACGTATATTCATTTTAGCGAAATCTATCTTTGTCCATTGGACCCATTCTAATATATTTAGGTAATTTCAAGACGCTGAATGACTCAAATTAGCATTAAAGGCTCATTTGCAAGCTATTGCTACATTTCTTAATTTCAAAACAATTCAGCTGCACAGTTAGTTTATTAATATAACGGCTATTCAGCAATGGAAAAATTACTATTATTATTACTTTTATTATTATTATTATTATTATTATTATTATTATTATTATTATTATTATTATTATTATTATTATTATTATTATTATTATTATTATTGTTATTATTGATATTATTATTAATTAATTAATTAATTAATTAATTATCCAAAAATAAAACTTTAAATTTTTTAGCTTTCAGTACAATTGAATCAAAATCTCGAAGTATGCATTTATTGAAGTGAAGAAGAATGAGAATCCAGCTTCCTCTTTGGAACTACAATAAGAAATACAACTAAACAAATAAATTAAATTGCAATCGTCGCACTTTCAATACAATTCAGCTGCTGAAAACTTTATTCAGCGCATTTAAAATTCTTGCTTTATTTATATGTATATGATTATGGCTTTTAAAAAATACATTATTACCAAAAAAACTATATATTTTTTATGTTTGAAAATGTTATTTCAAAGCAATTCGTAGTGAGAAAGTTTAAATTAATTTAAATATCAGTTTAAATATTTTAAATAGCTTTCATAAGTTTTTATGTGCTGGAAGGAACTGAAATGCTCTTTATTGCAGGATATTTGCATTTGCATTTGAATAGCACCATTATATGTTTTTTCAATATTTAAATCGAACGTTTGTATTATTTTAAATAAAGTAGCTTACAAATTCCTTACTTCCCAGCGCATTTTGAACACCCCTCGTATGTATGATAATCAAATTAAAACTCAATATAAAGTTAAAACGTTCAAAAAATTGTAATTTTACGCTAATTTTATTGAGTTCTCCCTCTCTCTGCTTTATTTACTTCACTTACTATTATTTACGAATTAATGTTTATTTAATTTTGAATTGAAGATTTTCTTCTCAACTAACGCACCAGGTAAAACGCTTACTAACCTCATACCGGGATACATTATAATGCAAAACTAAGTGGATTATGATATCAGTTACTGGGAAAAACTACTACCAGTTGATTGTTTCATGAATGTGGGCAAAAATAATGATAAAATGGTGAGAAAGTTAAAACAAGAACGCACAGATAATGAGATTTGGTAGGGAGAGAAAACTTCGCCGCTGAGAGCTTTTCCAGAGAAAGCTTTAGGAATGTACGGTCTTCCAATAGCGACCTCAGCAGTGAAAATAATAACAAAGATCTTTCATCTTATGAAGCTCCGTACAATTCAGCGGACAAAAACGGTCTTTACACCGGAACGACCCTGATAAGCATAATGAACTACTTTGGGGAATACCCCCCTGCGGGCTAGGGGTGCAGGAATTTACCCGCGGTAAAGCATGCCTGTCGTAAGAGGCGACTAAAATCCAATAGTTCCCGCGACAGTCGGGTCTTTATACCGGAACGACCTGGATTTTTATCCGGCCAAGAACTGTCACTTCCGCAACATTCCCCAAAAAGTACTTTGGGGAACAGTCAACGCTTACAATTTAAACACATAGCCGTGAATATAAAGACAAAATAATAATAATAAGAAAATATTCATACATTTTTAGAAATCTTTAAATTTCCAAAAAAAATTCTTTGTAAATTCTTGGAGCTTACCTTAGAATAAACAATCGATTACAAAAGTAATCGATAAGAGCATACAGCCCTGCTTTTGACAGCGTAGAGTTGCTATCGCCGTCCAACAGCTGTGTATATAAACATTTCGTCTTACATCGAAATTACATACATACTTACGGTTTTCGATCGACAACCAACAGCTGGTTATTTGTTTAAACAATAGCATATACATAAATACATAAACAATTTACAAAGTGTAAGCAAAGATAATAATAATACACATGTGGTAATCAATATTAGTAGACGCCGCAAAGTTTCAACCGAAGTTGACGCACCGGCCCATAGCACAGTCGTGCAAGGCAACTCGTGAAGAGCACTAGCTATCTAGGCAGCCACATATTTAATTTTGGAAAAACGCTCTTCTATTACCAATTGTTGACAACATAAACCTACGTTGTGTAGGCGCTAACGCATATCTACGTCCAACTCCGTTAAAGTGCTGTTTATGGAATTTTCCACGCATACATAAACGCTTTTGATCATTCACTGCCAGCGTGCATGCTCGCCGCAACTCTGTGTCAGTGTGTTTTTGTATATACAAAGACGTCTTAGCCAACATTAGTCCATTCATTCATAGAGTGTGCTTAGAGAAAACATATAGCTAACATAGCATAAACGAACATTCCGGAACACTAGAAAATGTCTCATCGTCGCTTATACATGGAGGCTACACAACGGCCACTAGAACCGTATTGTGATTGTGAATTTCCGCAAAGTGTCCTTTTAGCTACTTATACAGGATATATACCGGATTTAGTGAAATGTCGTTGTGGTGAACGTACTGAAAAAAAGCAAAATGTTAATATTACTTCAGAAAAGAATAGTGAAGATGATAAGCAGTTGGAGGAGTCGATATGCCAACCGAACGGTTTGCAATGGAATTGGGAACAAAATGAAACCACCGACACATTAATTAAAGATGCTGACATTACCTTTCATCCCACCTACAGCCAAGGTACGGCTATTGTGCGCAGTGTACAACCATTAAAAGCGGGTATGGTGCATTTTTGGGAGATGCGGATCATAACGCCACTTGCGGGTACCGATGTGGTGAGTATTATTTTAAAGTTTCTTTGCAATGGAGTTATTGCTTATTTGGTAGTGAATTTATTTTATAAGCGATGCCGTGTGTGAAGTGTATTTTTGGAAAGTGCAAAAGCACGTTTTTAGAATTCTTTAAAAATTTGTTTCTAATTTATAACATATTTAATATTTAAATTCTTTTTAAACGCCATTGCGCATTCTAAGTATGGACATAGTAAATACGTTTAAAAGTCTTGTAATAATTCAGAAAATATTAAGGTCTTATGTTTTTTCTAATCTAATTTCTAAATTTCTTTGTATTATCTCTCTATTTAATCTTTTAAAGTGGAACAGTAGGTCAAATTGCTTTTTTATTAATATCTGCAAATGCTTTTAATACTTGACTTGTATTTTTAAATCAAGTTCATTAAGACAAGTTACTCCAAAATCTTGCTTATGTTTTTATATTGGATTCTATGAATATGCATTTAAACACCTGTAGTTCTTGAAAATCCATACTTAGTACTTCTACGACTTGTGCTTTTTATTTACATATAAAATTACTTTTATTATCAAAGCCTTTGTCATAATTTCTTTGTTTTGGGGGTGTATGAAAAAAAAACAAGTTGAGGCGCTATACAAATACAGATGTATGTATGTATGCATGTAATTATATTCATATGACAAGTGTTTTTATATTAATAAAATCGAAAATCACCTCAGCGGCTACAAAGCGCGTATATTATTATATATTCATATGTACATACATATGTATATGGTAGCATGTGGTATCATCCTACGCATAATGCTTATAAGCTCCACTTGGACATTTATAATGCTTGTGTGCTTATTTTTCTTTTTTTTTATACATACATACGTAGCTATTGTACATATAGTTATTGTACCAACTGTCTGCTGGTGATTAGCGATTATCAATTAAAATAAAATAAAAACAAAAAACAATTAAAAATGTTATTTAAATGTTCTCAAAAATATGTTTTATAGCTTATTATGTTTAGGAATATGTGCTAAGTCCATATGTATGGCCAGTAGAGGTTTTTGACATTTAAATCGAGGGTGAGGAAGACACCTTTTGACACCATTCCAAGGTTCATTATGCGACTGCACATCGAAATCAATACATTTTTATACTGCTTTTTTTTTATTCTATATGCTAATGAGCATTAAGCTGATAAAGAGTTTTGATTCATCACATTTGCGTCAGTAGATTAGAATTTTGTTCATTTTTTTCTTTCAAATAATATTTATGCAATTTTATTTTATATGTGTCAACTGATTTAAATAAATAAAATAAAAAATTATAGATTAAGCAGTTAGTAGTTTTTCTAATAAGTGTTTGCGCGTCATTTTTGAAGGAAAAAACTTTTGTATATTTATAATACATATATTCGTATTAAATATTGAGAAACCAAAGAATATCTGCAAATTTTTAAATTCAAGAAAATTATTAATTGAGTATTCCAACCACTATAAAAAAGAAATTATGACGTAAAATGTATATACATACAAATGTATGTACATGAAAAAAATTAAAGATTTGTTTATTACTATTTATTGCTCCACTTTAATTTCTACCACAATTCATTTGCCTGGTTATTTTCCTAAACTTGAGATTGCCTGTATTTACATATACATACATATGTATGTGTGTTACATATGCACTCGACGGTATATTTATTGTTGGCAATTGATTGAAGACAGTCAATTGCTTTTAATTTAAATTCATATGACGTATGATTAAATATGAATTTGTTAGGCGAAATTTTTAGATATGCTAAAGTACACACATACATTTCAACCACAATACAAAAGGCAATAAAAACGTAACCCAAAACGGTTTAAGACGTCTTTAACAAGCAACAATTTAAATTTCAATGGTCTAATTGACAGAAATTGGCACAATATATATATATATATATATATATGCATACGTATGTATGTATGAGTGAATTTTAGAATGCTCATTTGTGTAGAATAGAAGATTTATTATTATTTTTAATTTTTACAATAAAAATATTTGCTGAAAATATAAATTTAGCTTAATATATTTATGCAATCGTGTATGTATGTATATGTGTTAATTAAACTGTACATGCCAAAACCAATGCATATCTTATTGAAAGTTGCCAATATTTTTGTACACTATTCACTAATTAACTAAGCTACACACATTTTATGCTAATTAATATAATATAATATGTATTTTGCTAATCATCAGTCAGTTTTAGTGGACTTAAGGCACTACATACGTCAACTGGCAAGCTCAATCTGTACTTGTTTCGCATACTAAAAAAGATACAACGTGATCAATTTATTTGAACTAAATTTAAAAATTACTTTGAAAATAAAATTTTTTATAACAATATTCCAAGCATTTTTGTTGTTGTATTCGCGTACCAGATAAAACGGAAAACGGGAAAATTATATTTTTGGTTTATCCTTATATAAACAAACTTTTATTGGTTAAGAGCGCAATAAATAAAAAGAAAATATTAAAAAATACAACTGCTGGTATACTTATATATTATGATATACATATGTACAAACTTATGAATGTATAAAATAATTAAGTAAATATTAAGACCATAAATGCATTACTAACATCTACTGCCGCTCCATTAAATTGCGTTTCGCTTTTATTTTTGGACTTTCAATGTCACCCCGACTGCTGGTCTTAGATATAGAAAAGCATCTTGTTGCATTAATGTATGTACGTATGTATGTACGTATGTATTTAAAGCCACTAGATTTACAATTATTTGCATATTTACTTTACATTATCTTATCAAAACTGTAACTAATTTATAAGGATGAGAATTTTTACGTTTAAACAGAAGATAAAATTGAGAAAATAGAAAATAGAAAAACAAGCACAGCAAAGTAGCTGAATGGAGAAATGGCACGTAGCACTTCTAAGCTAATCTCGAGTTTTTTTCTCAATTAAAAATCTATTTGCGTGTGCTTATGGTTTTTTTCTTATTATTATTATTATTTTTTTTTTTTTTTTTTTGAAGATTCGCGCACTTATTGTAATCTCTTGCATGTAAAAAATACTGATAATGCAATCTAAAGATGTACGTATGTGAGTCCTACATTAAAGATACATACATATATAAGATGTGTCATTGTTGAAAAGGTCAAAATAAAAATTGTCTATATAATATTGGCTTCTCAATAGTTGTTAAGTGCACATATTTATTTACAAACATACATAAATACATACATTTTTTATATGTAATTGTACACTACATGCACAATGTCTTATAAAAACAACAATGTAATTAAATGTCGCCGCTTATCGCTAACTGCCGCCTTACAAAATACAACTCTTTTCACACTCACCACCAACTTATGCACACATATTCATCAACAATACTAAATCATTTTCTTATTTCATTCCAGATGTTCGGCGTTGGCACCGATAAAGTTGAGCTTAATCAATTCCAGTACCATTTCGTTTCGGCGCTCGGTACAAATGCACAATCTTGGGGCTTCTCTTATAATGGCAAAATCCAACATAATGGCGTACAGCTGCCATATGGTCAGAAATTCTCACAAGGCTGCATTGTTGGCGTTTGTTTGGATCGTGCACGCGGTACTTTGGAATTTTATCTAAATCGTCGTTCACTCGGTATAGCCTATACGAATATACCGCGTGATCCGCAAGTGCAACTCTATGCCATGGTCTGTTCAACTGCGGCCAAGTCGGTGGTGCGCTTAATTAATTCTACCTCACAAATGGATTGCCTGCAATTGCGTGCATTCAAAGCACTCTCGAAGCACCCCAAAGATTTGCAATTATTGCGTCAAATGCCTGGTTTTCGTGGTGTATTGAATGATTATTGGTTTCTCACACCGCCGGTGCGTTACTCACGTCGCAGTGCGGCGTCGGAGCTTGATATTGCCGATGAGGCGGTACTCTCGAAGTCGCGACTGGGTAGAAAGCAGAAATACAAAGGTTGGCATATACTTTTTTATAACTTTCTTGTAGTATATAAGTGCCAAAAGAAGAAGAGGTTGAATGATCAAAATTTATACTTGTACCAATTGAGTCAGAGTGACGAGTTGAATTGATTTAACCATGTCCATCTAGTCCCTCAGTTTTCAACTACTGGTACATTTAAGCGATTATTGGTCGGCACCGGTCAGATCGGACCACTATAGCATCGATATTTGAGGTCTATATCATACAGCCCATATACAACCGATTTGTTCATATATGATGTTTTGGTTAAAAAAATTCGTTCAAAGTAGATGTTTTTTCATAAAAATTTGTATGCTACGCACGTTTATTATTATCACTGAAAATCATCGAAGTCCGAGGTCTATATCATATACCTCCCATACAATCAATTTCTTTATATATTAAGTGTTTGAGTCCAAATTCGCCTGAAAAGCATTTAAGAGCATGAAAATTTGGCTTCTACATCCGTTTATACAAATAAATATTAACACCGAAAATTATCCAAAACGGAGGTCTATTTCATGAATCTCCCATGCAAGGTTTTGTATCAAAAATTCTCTCAAACTGAAAACTTTTGTTTAAAAAACACCTTAAATTCGTCTTAAATAAATTATTATATTTATTATTTGTCAGCAAAACAAAACCAAGTTGTTTTTGATATTACTTGTTATAACAATTTATTAAATTTAACTTTTTTTAATTTTTTCAGATGATGACTTAGACATAAACGATCTCTACTCAAACGCACACAAAATAGCGATGCGTTGCAGTCCAGAAACGGATGAGGAATTACATGCGAGCGAATTATTCGATGAATATTTTCATTATCTATTCTAAGCGTTTGATAGATTTAAAATTAATGCAAAGACTTACTTTTTTTTCGAACAAAAATTTCATACAAAAAACTCTCGGCCATTTAAGCGCTTGCGTTTTTATGGTTTTTCAATTTGTAGTACTGTTATTGCAGCTGTAAACAATTTGTGCTACAATTCTTATTCTTAGCTGTAATATTTTAAAGCTTAAAAAATAGTTGCATACTCCAAAAAATTTCCATTGCTCATAATATTGATTTTAAATTAGCATTTTGTAACGAACAAACAACAAAATATGTGTCGCATTTATTTACCATATACTTATGTATATCTATTTACATATGTATTGACTTGCATTGTTTACAACTAAACATTTACAAAAGCCTCTATTAATTCCTGTGACTTAATATTTTTAGCATTTAATTCTTAGCAAACTTAACTTTTGAGCCAAATTAATACCTGTGTATCTATGTTTTTTCTTCGTTTTTTTCACTTTTATTTACTCACTTTACTGTCGCCGCACTTTGCAGGTGAACTAAGCCGGCCTAAAACACTTGTAAAAACAAACATGTAATATTATTATTTAGTTATCGATCACCAGTGTTTGTATGTATATATGTTACTAGTGGTGTACTTGTATAAGTAGTTAAGTATGTGTTATTCGATATACATATATATGTATAGTAGTAGCATTAAATATTGTATTAGTGTACTCCCATTGGATATGCACTAATTGTTATACTTACATACATACACATATAAAAACTCTATTGTGAGTTTGATTGTGGACTGTGTTCAGTTTAGATTATTTTTACTTCTCTTAACGAACAATTAGCACAAAAAATTAGTCAACTTAAGTTATTTTTGATTATTTTGAAGTTATAAGTACTCTTGATAATTAACTGATTTTTTTTTATACCGCTGATGAAGGAATGAAAATAAATAAATTTTTTATTTTTATTAAAAGTTAACAATTTGTTTTATAAATATAAATATGTGTAATTAATTAAAATTATATTTGTTTACTTTATTTGTCAGCATTGAAACCACACTTTGTCTCTTTATAGCATTTTTGCTCCACTTTTCTACTCGACGCAATGCTTAAAACAGCTGCAGGTGACTCCTTTTTTATACATAATATTGTAATAATGACTCAATGGCAACAAAATGTATTGGTTTGCATGTGTTTGCATTCGTTGTGCGCCACTTGTACAACAAAAGCAAAGCAATTGCAAAATCTACATAAAACAACGGAGGAACATGGGTGGCCTACATTTAGGGGCAAAATAAATTCAAAAGAATATTGTCATTGATCAAACTATACGAACTCGGAACTCTAACGATGACTGTATTTCATGGCCCACCTCTTTAATCCTTTTGATAACAGCGGTCTCTCAATGTCTGATAGTAGCACTGCCGGGTTAACAGTGTCAAAGGCTGGAATCTTGTTTTACAACTAACCAAAGTCGAACAGTCTGAGAGATCGCGTCAAGAAGTTCCGATTTTCTGAATTTTGTTCACCCTGTTTTTAAGTAGGCAAGCACGAATTTAATATCGTGGCGGAGGCAGTGTTCATGCGTGCGATCTAAGCGTTTGTAGGAGAAATTTTTCATATCATCCTCATTCTCTTCCCTCGGAGGCAAAGAATTTCTCTTATCCCGAATCTAAAATCAAATTTGCGTTGTTTTTGTACGGGAACTGTAATGGAAGACCTTAGGACCCAACTTCTACTCCCTAACGCGTCCACCATGGCATTACCTTTGAATTAAGCCTTGCCTTTCTTCAAGATATCTTCAAGCTAAACAGCGAACGCTTTCGAATTGGAGGTCTTGGATCCAAGATGCAGTCGAATCAGGTTCGTTCCGCTGTCTCTTTATTTTAAAAGAATTTTTATAGCCATTTCTACCATCAAATGAAAAGTCAGATTTATCTGTATCTTTATTTTATTTATTTGTATATTTGCAATGTGTACTCAATTATAATGTATCTGTAATTACCGTAAGTGTTTAAGAATTTAAAGTAACGAAAAACGCATCTGCATTTGTATATATATATGTGAATTGTGCTGAAGAAATGCTACGAAACGAACATTTTATTATATAACTAAGTGAATTAAAGTAAAAATGTTAGAAATATTGAAAGACCCACAAACGAAAATTAAATCACTACAGAACCGTTTTCTTGTTAAATAACTAAAATAGTTTACAACTATACTTTAAATTATTATGAATAACGTTTTTTTTTTAGCCTTTAAGCCATTTCTAAATAATATTGAGAATGAAAATTATTTATATTGAATGCGATATGGATATTTAAGCATGGATAGTATTTCAACTTTAATGCCGCTTAATCGTCATTATCATCATCACCATCGTAATCGTCATGTGCCAATTCCTTGGGTACTTTGCCAACACTCACATTTCTACCCGCCGGTGCGTTGAGCGCAAAAACAACACCCAATGGCAGCTAATCTATGTCGTCGTCGTCATCATCGAAAATTGTATATTTCTTTTGTGAGCGTTTTCGGCGCGTTTGCTTCTTCGATGTGGTTGCCGCAGTTGTCACTGGTGCTGCTGTCTGGATTGGTGTTGACGGTGCGGTAGCTAATGATTTATTTAATTTCAACTTCATCTTCACCGCAGCCGTTGAGGTGGTAGCAATCTCCTCATCATCCGAGCCATCATCGGGTGCTTCCTCCTCTTCATTGTCCGAAGCCTCTGAGCCGGCGGCTGTGCCTTCACCACCACCAGCACTACCACTGGCTGACTTATTGCCAGATTCGGAAGCAGACCAAGCAGCAGCAGCTGCTGCTGCGGCCGTTATGCGTGCACGTGCATTAACGAATACCTTCTGTAGTTCAATAGAATCGAGATAAATTAGCGAGGCCTCCTCATTGTATATTTGTGCATTTTGACAGAGCTGCACAAAGTCTTTCTCCAGCTCATTAATGTCACCGTATTTACAATCTTCAATGCGTTGCAGTATCTTCTTAATATCTACAGGTCGTTTAATGATTTCATAATAATCGGGTAGCCGTTGACGTGATGGTAACTTCATAAATGGCTCTGAGAGAACGCGACCATCATCGTTTGTATATTTAATAACCGCGGACATAATCTTATTCATTTGCTTCTTAAGACGCTTATCGATATTTTGGCGACGACGACGTTTCATAATCAATTCGTCTTCATCGGATTCATCTTTGCGATTTTTACGTTTACGACGCTTACGCTTAGCATCATCTTCTTCTTCCTCCTCTTCGAATTCGGCACCATCATCGATGGCTTTTAGCCATTCTTTCTCGGTAAGACTGTCTGTGTAGTCTACCTCTTTGCGTTGACGAGAGCCACGACCTGAAAGAAGCATAGAACATTAAAATACATTAAATAAATTTTGTTTCGAATTTCGAAATCGAAATAAAATTCGAAGCACATTTCGAAGTTCAAAACAAACAAAAATTTGAACTAATAGAAAAAAAGTCGAAATGAAAGTTTTTAAATTTAAATAAAATTCGTTATTGAAAAAGTTGTACATAAATATAAGTTTGATATTCGATAGTCCCAAAACACAAACAATTTTGGGAGTTCAAAACCAAAAAAAAAAATCGAAGTTAAAAAAATACAGTTAAATAAAATTCCTCTTCGAAAAATTTGTACATTGAAATACAGTTCGAAAATCCCATAAAACACCACAGTTCGAAATTCGAAACAAACAAGAAAAAATAAAAATTAAAAATCATCAGAATTAAAAACTTCTTAAATAAAATTAAATTCGTCACAATTCCGAAAAATATCATATAATTAAAAAAAACGATTGAAGTAAAAATTAAAATAAGTTCGAAATTGAACTAAAGCTCTTAAACAACAACATAAAGCCGAAGTTTATTATGTCATATAAAAAAATGTAAAATTTGGCAGACTCACCCAAAATAGTATCCTCATCGTATTGATGCCAACGTTCCACTTCATCATCGTCCTTCGTCAACCAGTCGGGCAACTCTGACTCGTCAATCAAACGCTCTCTACCCGGATGCAACTCTTCATCCTCCTTCTTACGATCAATATCCATCTTCTTGAACAATTCAATCTCCTCTTCACTACGCGCAATCATCATATTAATAACCTCATCATCGGGCACCTCATTTTCTTCCTCTTCCTCATTATCATCTTGATGCAAAATTGTTTGCAAGAATTGTTGCCGTTCACTGCCTGTCGATTTCTGATCAAACATACCAGCTTGAATGACCTTCTCATCCATATTCAACTTATAACGTGCAGCCGCCAAGATACGCTCCTCCACAGAGTTGACTGTCATCAGACGTAATACACGCACCTCATTACGTTGACCAATACGATGTGCACGATCTTGGGCTTGTAAATCTTGATGCGGATTCCAATCGGAATCAAAGATGACAACCGTATCGGCAGTCTGCAAGTTAAGACCCAAACCACCGGCACGTGTTGAGAGCAAAAATACAAAGTAATCCGAATCTTTTGCATTGAATTTACGCAATAATTCACCACGATCCTCTGCTTTGGTGGTACCATCTAAACGCAAATAACCAAATTGACGCCAACTCAGATAATCCTCAATAATAGTCATGCACTGTGTCATTTGACAGAAGAGCAATACACGATGATTGCTCGCCTTCAACTTTGGCAAAATACGATCGAGCAGCTCAAATTTACCCGACACACGATATAAATCCGGACCGGACGCAACGCTGTGAGCGCCAGTATGATCGCAATACTTCTCCTCAATGTGTTGGAACATGAATGGATGATTACAAAGCTTACGCAGTTGCACGATTGTGTTCATCAAAGCCTTAGCGCCACCCTTGCCCTGTTTGCCCTTCTCCGAACCATCAGTAAGCAAGACACCTTTGCTTTGCATGTGCTTGTAGAGCACACGTTGCAACCCAGACATGTCACATTTAATGATGTACTCAACCTTGTCGGGCAATTGATGCTCCACCTCCTTCTTGAGACGACGCAGCAAGAAAGGACGCAGCACTTTATGCAAACGACGAATAATCAAAATAGTTTCTTCTTCATTGAGTTCAACTTTTTCGCCTGTTGTAGCGAAGGGTGCATTAAACCACTGCTCAAAGGTAGAGCAAGACTTGAAAATTGATGGTAATAAGAAATTAAGTAAAGCCCACAGTTCGGGCAATTTATTTTGTAACGGTGTACCGGTGAGTAGTAAACGATAGGGTGCAATGTAATGTGTGTTCAAGACCTGTGTGAGTTTGCAGTGATGATTCTTCATACGATGACCTTCATCGATAATCATGTATTTCCATTGGATTTTAGCAAGCACTGCTTTATCCTTGATAACGTATTCATAAGTGGTGAGTAGTACATTAAATTTGGTGGCACGCATTTGATTTTGCAACAAACGACGCCCCTGTGGGCTGCCTTTATAGCTCACAACGCCAACTGAAGGCGCCCACTTTTCGAATTCCAGCATCCAATTGGGTAGTGTAGAGAGGGGTACAATAATCAGATAGGGACCCATGACCTGCGGACGGTAAAGTGTTTTTAGTATTAAAACCAATTAAGTAAATATATTTCATCTGCTACTTCGAGCATCTTACTCACCTTCTTGCGATCCATTAGATAGGTAACCAACGAAATTGTTTGTATAGTCTTACCCAAACCCATTTCATCGGCCAAAATACCATTTAGATTGTTATTATATAGCGAGACCAACCATTCCAAACCCTTCAATTGGTATTCCTTCAATTGACCATTAACCATTATGCTTGCCTGTTCAGTAACCTTTTCGTGTACTGTGTGTGCAATGCTGTAGTATGTCTGCTCTTCGGTGCGATATTCATCATCTTCCACTTTGACTTTCTTTATGAAGTCCTTAGTGTCTTCATTTGTGGTGTCTTTGTTCTCTGTTTCTTCGGCCTTCTTCTCTTCTTTTTCTTCCTTCGATTTATCATGTTCTTTATCATCAACATCACGCATTTCGGCATCGCCCTCGTCATCAGAATCGGATTCAATCCAATCCCAGCCGGGATGACGTTCTAACCAATTATGCAAGTTTTTCAAAGTAGGCGCCTCTTCGCCGGAAAGTCGTGTGCCCGTTGACTGTTCTACAACAGTTACGCGCATGTCTGCAGCAATGCAACTCTCATCGATATTCATGTATTCACCACTCATTAGGAGCTCTTTCTTGTATTGCACCAAACGTTTACTCTCTTCCTCCTTCTTCTTCTTCTGATCATCCTTGTGTTGTTTTACCATCTGTGTCAGATTACTAATATATTCATCGGTCTGCGACAGCAAGAATGCCAAACGTTTGTCTTTCTTTTGATCAATCAATTTGCGGTAACCCTCTTCATCCTCAGCCATCAAACGACGCATACGCTCTTTCTCTATACGTTCTTGCTCCTTCTTCTGTTCGCGCTCGGCGTTGGCGTGGTGATTCATAATCGCCTTGTTGACGCGCGCCAATTGCGCTTTATTATTGCGATGATATTCCTTGAAATCCTTGCCATGTTGCAGCACTGCAGCCAAGAATTCTTGATGTTTCTGACGCCGTTTGCGCTCCGCCTCCAATTTCTGTTGTTTCTCCAGCTTCTCGGTGGCACGCGCCTCACGCAGTCCCTGGCGTTTCGTGCGCTTGTATGCCTTGATGTTTACAGCTGTCTCTAGCGTAGTGTCGCGACGCGTGCACTGCACAATTTCTGCACGCAACTGACGCTGGAAGTTGAGCACACGCAAAGCACGCAACTCTATAGCCGCTTGTAGACGTAAATCTTCCGGCATAGTAGCGGGCAGACGCTGCAACTCTTGCATGCGCAATGAAATACGCGACGCTATGCGATTCTCGCGCTCCTGCAACAACGTAATCGGATCCAAACCTACCGGCTTGGCCACAGTGGTAATGCGATTTGGCTTCGGCATGGGCTGTTGTGGTGGTGGTGCGCCAGGTTTGGGTGCTTGCATGCCGGGCGGTGCCTGCGGTGGCAGACCGGGTGGAACTTGCGGCATTCCTGGTCGCACACCTTGCGCCATTGTTGCCGGCATCGGCGAGGAGATAGGCGGTTGACCACCAACCATCATTGGTGGCGGCGGTCCGGCGTTCGGCTTGCCGCCAGCACCGTTAGGCAACTGATGTGTCATATCTTGCTGCGGTGGCATTGTTGGTGCGCCAGCGCCTGGAGCCATTGGTGGTTGCTGTACATGCTGCGGTGGTGGTGGTTGCAACTTAGGACCACCTGGCAGCTGTTGCTGTGTATAGGGACCGCTGGCTGGCGGTGTTGGGCATTGTGGTGGTGTGCCTGCACTCCCAGCACAGCCGGGCGGTTGCACACCGCTTGGTCCAGGCTGCTGCTGCTGCTGCTGCTGCTGTTGTTGTTGTTGTTGTTGTGGTTGCTGCTGCTGTTGCTGCTGCACGGGAACACCAGGATGTTGACCTGGGGGACCTGGTGGTCCAGGTGGCATGCCAACCTGTTGTTGCTGTTGCTGTTGCTGCTGTTGTTGTTGTTGTTGTTGCTGTTGCTGCTGCTGCTGTTGTTGTTGTTGCTGTGGTGGTGCTAATTGCTGTTGCATTTGCATTGAAATCGGTTTATTGCGCGCCAACAGACGATAAGCTGTGATTTGTGCGCGCAACATATTCACTTGATTGCCAGTAAGATGTTGATGCTTCGAGGTGGCGCGTATGGCGAGTAATTGTGAGTAGCGTGGATCCTCCTGCAGACCCTTCTCCTCCATGGTGTCGATGGCGCGTTGTAATGCAGTGAGACTTTCCTGTACGGGACGATCGCCGGGTGGTGGGCCCTGACCGGGAGCCGGTGGACCCTGCAATTGGAAGAGAGGATGTTGAACATTAGGTTTGGTAAACATGTGTAGGTGTTAAATAAAAAATATTTTTATACTATGTATTTTTCCACTACAAAAAAAAATGTGTCATTCCACCTCCATAAATGCGTTCAATAAGCTTCAGAATATAACTTGATGATACTGACAGCTGGTAAAAATATGCAGGAAAATTTAATTTCACTGCAGATAAGAGTTATATTTAACTTACAGTGCGCAGTAAAAGTTTGTGTCACATAGGAAAACCTGTCAGAGTACATGAAATGTTAAAAGCTGAATTTCGATGGTGACTCGCCAGCAGCTCCGAGAACATTGTTGAGGACCTCGCACCAAGTGATAACCATCTATTCCTGTCTATGGCGAATGAAGCTTGTGAAAATCGTTTTCCCAATTTTGGCCCATAAGGACAAAGCCAGAAGGCAGAAATACAGATATTTCTAGCAATGGTAAATGGCCTTCAATTTAATGCAAAAATAATGGATAATTTTTTCTAGACTGTTACATAATTTCTCTTAACGAGAGTTGATAACAGAGAAACTTTCTTTCAGCAAATAAAAGAATCGGTTTCAAAACATCGTAAGATTTTTATAATTTTTTTTTAATGTTTGTAAATTTTTATTCGACACTGTAGGTATGCATATTGAGGTTAGAAGAAAAGTTCCGTATTTTTCGCTGCTACATTTTGTGATAAGAATTACTTAATGTAAAGCGTTTACCTATAAATTATCGCAGAAAAATTTACGCCTACACAGGGAATTTTTTCTATTTGAAATAAATAAAAGACAAGAAATATTTCTCTTTACAAAATATTTTTATTTATTGCAGTGAAAATAAATTAATTTTCTTTCTATTTCTACGCAAGCATTTTTGCATTATTCTTTATTATTTAAGCTAAGAGGAGCTTTTTGAAACTAATTGCTTTTTTTCTTTTTAATTCTTCACAGTATATTCGTTTTTCACTTCGATTGCAGTTTTCAAATCAATGCAATAAAACAATTAACCTTGAGACTTTAAATGTAAAAGTAATTTATCTAGTCGCGGGATAAATTACGAGGGTGTGTAAAAAATAATAATAGAATACTTTGAGAAAAGCTGTTTTCGCTGATTTTAATCAAAGGGAAAGGGTTCCGGCCCTGTACTGCCGGCCCTTTAAAATCTACTCATTAAACCCAATTAGGTTTTAAGGGGTATGCAAAGCCGTGGTAATGTCGTGCCGGAACTCATTATATACCGGACATGTGTTAAATAGGTCGAGGTTGTAGATTAGCAGAAGTTGAGTATGCTACAATATGCAGACCTTAATTATCCCAGAATCACTCGGATCTAGCGAGGAAGTTCGTCTTCTATATGGTGTGGTTGGATCCGAGCATGCCATTCACGGTAAGAGATTAGGGCCCGTCGGCGAACTATTTCTAAGACGACCTCATTCAGTCATGAAGGGTGGAGTTTCAATCCAACAGCAAGATACTCCACAAATCAGTGAGATAAGAGCGGAAACGTTATGAGGGGAAGACCAGCAGTAGTCAGGGCTTTCCAGAACAAGCACTTTGAGAGTAAGAATTGCTTCAAAAAGCGCTTTCAAAATGTGAGGAATATAAAGACGACGGCCTAAATAAACATTAGTTTCAGATTCCACAATTTATTCGCTGATTCCAATACTCGCGAATTTGCCGACGTAATTTATCGTTTTTCATTCAATAGATACTTTCAACTTAATAAGAAAAATTCTCACCTCGACTCCCTGCGCTCTCTAACCGCATTTTTAATCAACAGCAGCACGCCTCTCTAGCTGACGACGAGTGAGAATTTTTATTTACAAGCAAAAAGTAATTAAAAATTAAGAAAACGCAACAACAACAATGCTCGTCTAACGCCTAAGACAAAGAAGAAAAAAAAACCTAACTGAGATACAACCAACAAGATGAATCAGTAGCGGTAGAACCAGTGGAAGCACAATAAGACAAAACAGAGCATGTTTGCCGTACAAGCCAAAGCGCGTTTGATGAATACAATATTCAGTTGATTGCTGAGCTTTGATGAAGCTTGTAAACGTATAATTCTTGTAGTGAAAAATAGCTAGTTAAAATAGTGAAAGAATAGCGCAAACTTTGAAGAAAAATATTAATTAAAAAAAAAATAAATTAATTTAATTTTTTTTCGAAAACTGCCAAACCAGCACAATACCATGGCTAGCCAGCAGCAGATCGACGAATTGTACGACTTCATGTATCCGCTTGCGCAGCGCGCTGGCGAAATACTACTCGAGGGCTACGAGGAGGCAGGCAAGCAAGTGAATATTAAGACAGCATTCTATGATGTAGTCACCGAGTATGATAACAAAATCGAAGAATTTCTAATTGAACAAATATTGGCACGTTATCCGGCACATAAGTTCATTGGCGAAGAGGATACTGCTAAGAATAACCATGTGACAAAGGAGCTTACGGATGCACCAACATGGATCATCGATCCCATCGATGGTACATCGAACTTTATCAAACAGATACCGCATGTGTGCATCTCGATTGGTTTGTCGGTGAAGAAACAGATTGTCTTGGGTATTATTAACAATCCGGTACAGAAGAAAATGTACACAGTCAAATTGGGTGGTGGCGCTTTTTGCAATGGCCAGCCCATACATGTGAGCAATGTTGATAATGTAAGTAGAAACTGCAACGTGAAGTATTTAGAGCAAAGCCTTTATTGTGCATACATACGTATGTATGTACACAAATGTAATAAATTTCAATAAAATTCACAGATGAACGAAGCGAATGTCGCGTATGAAGTGTCGTTGTTGCACATTGCCAACTTGAAAGTACGCAATAAACATATAAAACGTATATATCATGTGGGGTCGCGCGCCAGACGGTAAGAGCTCATTAGCATTTATGTCCTGATTACGGTAATATTAGCAACATTAAGATAGCAAAAGTTTAAACATAATTTTTTTTTTTTGTGCACGTTTACGTTTGCTGTGCATTGTACGTATTCTTAATTCATTATTTACTTAATACTCTGTTTTTTTACTACTCCTACTTTTTTATTTTACATTTATGTTTTATTTATAAAAATGCTGATAAGTTTTAATTACAATATTTAAATGTAAATCAGAAGCATTCGGGTCACCCGATGTGGATTCCGTTTACAAATCTCATATTTAATCAATTTAAATGATTTATATTGCCCAAAGTCTGCTTTTTATGGCAGCAAACAACAGTAAAATGGCAATTAAAACGTGAGATAAATGTAAGAGGATTTGCTGTTTTATTTTCTGTTTGCGTAAAGATTTCTGATTTTATGTTGAAAAGAAATACCTACACTTTAAGTATAATTTTTACTAATTTAAATTCTAAAAACGGCGTTGTCTACACCAGTGAAGAAGATTTCTAATATAATAAAACAAAAATAAATTTATATACTTCTTTTAGGTCTTAAGCTCAGTAGAAAGAATATTAAAACTAATCGTTGTTCTGATATTATTGTATTTCACCCCTTTTTTTTAATTGTATGTTTTTAATATGCTTTTTAATGTTATTCATATTTACTCTGCTTTGTACTACTTTTTAATTTTTTTTGGACTTTTATTAATATTAAACTGTATTATTTTTTATCTGCTTTTATTATTATTATTCTTATATTATATTAGTCCCTAAAGCTTTAATTTTGTTTTCTTTTTTAATTTACATATTTTTTTTCTTTTCTTCTCTATTTTTTTTATTATTATTATATTTTATTTTTATATTTTATTTCTTTTTTTACTATATTATCATTAATTTTTTTCGTATTTTGCTTTGACATTTTTTATCATATTTGTTATTTAATTTTTTTATTATTTTTTTTTTTTTTTTCAATTTTTGTTTCTTTAAATTTTTCAACATTCATCTTAATTTTTTAATTTAATTTTAATTTTTTAACTTTCTTTATCTTTTTTTTTACATTTTTTTAATATGTGTTTAATATTTTTTAATCTTTTTTTAAGTATTTTTTTTAATTTTTTTTTAATCTTTTTTTTAAATATTTTTAGTTAATTTTTTATTTTTTTATCTATAATTTTATTTTTTTTTTACTTTTGTTAATTTTTTTATTTTTCTTTTGTTAATTTTTGTGAATTTTCATATGTTTTTTTTTAATTTCTTATATATTTTTAATTTTTTTTTTAATTTTTTTTTTAATTTTTTTTTTTTAATTTTTTTTTTAAATTTTTTTTTTTAATTTTTTTTTTATTTTTTTTATTTTTTTTTAAATTTTTTTTTAAATTTTTTTTAAATTTTTTTTTAAATTTTTTTTATATTTTTTTTATATTTTTTTTTAAATGTTTTTTAAATTTTTTTTTTAATTTTTTTTTCAAATTTTTTTAAATTTTTTTTTTTAATTTTTTTTTCAAATTTTTTTTTTTTAATTTTTTTTATTTTTGATAATTTTTTTCAATTTTTTTTTTTGAATTATTTTATTTTTTTTTATTATTTTTTATTTTTTTAATTTTTTTTTATTTTTTTTTTTTTAATTTTTTTTATTTTTTTAATTTTTTTTTTTATTTTTTTAATTTTTTTATTTATTTTTTTAATTTTTTTATTTATTTTTTTAATTTTTTTATTTTTTTATATATTTTATTTTTTGAATTTTTTATTTTTTCAATTTTTTTTTTAGTTTTAATTTTGATTTATTTTTTTTTATATGTTTAAATATTTAATGCTTTATTTTTTTAATTGTTACTTTTTTATAATCAAATTTTATTTTATAGCCACTTTTCTTCATTTCCTATTCTCTTTTTTCTTTTTTATTGCGATTTGGTCCAATTTCAAGTTTTTATATTATGTATGGAAGTACTATAACATAATATGCATGTATATACATATATTATTTTAACATTTACACTTTATTTTATTTTTTAAAACATTTTTTAGCTTCAAAGATTTATTGTTCTTTGTCTTTATTCTCCCAAAAATATATTTCTTCCCATCTTACAGATTACTCGCCTACGGTTGCGTGGTCGACTCCTTATGCATGGTCGCAGCCGGCAATTTGGACGCCTTTCACATTGAGGACATGTATCCATGGGATTGCGCTGCCGGCTATTTATTAATACGCGAAGCTGGTGGTGTTGTAACCCATCCTTATGGTGGTCCTTTCGACATTATGAAACCAGATTTAATTTGTGCTGGCACAGAAAGTTTGCGTAAAGAACTTGAGGGGCAAATAAGGAAAGCCGACCAAGCGAAGTCTGTAGGTGACGATGAGGAATAGAATAATCCCGAAACCAAACAATCGCGATAAATACCAAGCAACTTAATGTTGAATACTTAATTCTTATATACTTAATTGTTAAGCTGTTCTTTTCTCCTTTGTTCAAAATAAATTTTTTGAAATTAATGTTGTATTTTGTTTACCCAAAAAAAAAAGAAAATATGCTTATTTAAGAATCAACGAACTGCGGCTTGCAAAATAAACGGCTCAAGATATCTTGTACGATATGAGAAAAGACTTCTTTTTTTTTTGGTATTTATGAACTTTAAGTGCGCTTGGTAGACGTATAAAATGGTATGCCAGTTGTTGATGATACAATATTGTAAACAGTCGTGATACGAAGAAAAGCAAGAAGACAGTATATCTGAGGAAAATAGTAAAAAAAAATTATGTCCGACATCTCCGAGAATCAAAGGATACGTAACTATTATAATGTCGCACTGAAATTAGTCATGAAATGTGGACCTGTAGCGTGCGCGGGTTACGAAGAAACCAATATTGATTTTGAAACCAAATCAGCTTACTATGATTTCGTAACAATCTATGACAAGCAAGTGGAGGATCTACTCATAGCTGGACTGCAAACGGCATTTCCCGAGACAAAAGTCATAGGCGAGGAGAGTACAGCGGAGGATAAGAGTGAACCAGTGTTAACAGATGCACCCACATTGTGCAAGCTGACGTCTAATTGCTCCGGGTAAATAATATGCAATATATAATTCGATATAAAATATTGAATTGACTATAAGAAAACTTTAAAATTTCTCTCATTTGCGTAACAATTTAGATACCGTGGCTTTGGCAGCGCCGCCGTAACACTCTGTTATGTGGCGCGTGGCTGTATTGACTGCTTTACCGTAGAGGATCTACAGCCATGGGACATTGCGGGCGGCGCTTTAATCGTTCTTGAAGCAGGAGGTGTGGTGTATAATTTTAAAGGAGGCGAATTTTCGATAATGAAACCAAATTGTGTTGTAGCAGCGACAAAGGAGCTTGCAAAGGAAGTGATAGGCGTGATCAATGAGGCTGATGAGTTGAGAGAGCGGCAGAGAGAGGCGGAGAAAGAAAAAGCGGAGTAATTGCGTAAGCGTTGTTTTTTTTTTGGGATGTTTGGCTTTTTTAAATATTATATTTGATAATTTTATGGAAGTAAAATTTTTGAAAATTTATAAAATTGTATAAACATAATTTTTAGACTTATTTTAAACGAAAACATTTGTTTGATAGGAACAATACAAAGCATTAAAAAGTTTAAAAGAAAAAAATAAAAAAGTAAGTTAAAAAATAAAAATAAAACAATTAAATAAAATAAAGTAAAATAAAAAATTAAATTAAATTAAGATTTACTAAAAAATGCTTGATATGAATAATACAAAAAATATAAAAAAATAAAAATAAAATTAAAAATTAAATTAAAAATAAAATAAAATAATATAATAACATAAATAAATATAAAATAAAATTAAATAAGTACAAAAAAAAAAATTAAAAAAATTAAATAACATTAAAAACAAATATAATAAATATGAAATATAAACATAAAATTCAAAATAAAATAAAAATAAAAAATTAATATTATATAAAAATTGTTTGAATGCAATTTTTTGAGCGCAATAAAAGCTGCTAAGCAAATGCCAAGTATTTATTTTTTGACTTTATTTCTTTCAATTTCACCACAAATGCAATGGTTTGATGGAAAAACACAAAGCAAAAAATAGTTAAAAAAAAAAAAAAATAAAATAAGGAGCGCAATAAAAGCTGCTTACGTTTTATTTATTTATATATTTGTTTTTCATGAAAGAGTTAAAAGTTAGTGCGCAGACGCTCTCACTGCTTCTGAGCTCACTTTTGCTCTTCCGATTTACAATACGAACTCAACACAGTAGAACTATTAAATGTGATTGCTCAGCGCGTCAGTTATATGAGCTACAGCGGTGTAAAAGGTTGTTGTGTGTAGCGAAAAAATATATATAAAAGTGTGCTAAAGCAGAAAAATACAAATTTTTACAATTACCGTCAATTAAAACAGAAAAAAAGATGCCTAACTGCGCTGAGGAGCAAGCAATACGTAAATATTATGATGTCGCACTGGAGCTGGTAATGAAATGTGGCCCTGTGGCGTGTGAAGGTTACGAACAGGCTGATGTAAATTTTCAAACAAAATCAGCCTTTTATGATTTGGTAACGGTATATGATAAAAAGGTAGAAGATCTACTTATAGCTGGTCTGCAAGCAGCCTTCCCAGAGTCTAAATTTATAGGTGAAGAGGGTACAGCGGAAGATAAGAGTGAGCCAGTGTTAACAGATGAACCCACTTGGATCATAGATCCCATTGATGGTACAACAAATTTTATACGACGTTTCCCCAATTGGTGTATATCAGTGGGTTTGGCTATTAAGAAGCAGTTGGTGATCGGTATTGTTTATTTGCCCGTAGTTAATGAGATGTACTCAGCCTATAAGGGACATGGCGCTTATCTGAATGGGCAGCGTATCAGCGTTAGTAAATGCACAAAAGTGAGTAGATAAAAAAATTAAAAAAAAAAAATTAAAAAAAAAAATAATTAAAAAAAAAAATAAATAAAAAAAAAATTATAAAAAAAATAAAAAAATATAATTAAAAAATAAATAATTTAAAAATAATAGAAAATATTATTTGACATTAATTAATAAGAACTTTAAAGAATTAAAAAAACATACAACAAAAAATAAATATTAATTAAAAATAAAAAAAATTAAAACAAAGAATATGAAATAAAAGGAATCAAAAATTGAAAAAAAAAAAAATAAATAGAAAAAATAAAAAACAATAAAATAAAAAAATATATATAAGAGTACTTTTAAAGATATCTTAGTTTTAAGATTGATAAGAAAGTTGTAGACAAACAACTTGATTATTAAAACAACTATAGACGAAATTATTTAAAATATATATTATTAAAAGATAAGCAGTTTTATATACATACATACAAACATATTTATGTATAGTTTGTAAATACCTATGTATTGCTTAGGTGATAAATATATTTTGATAGCAATTACTGCAAAATTGAAACTATTGAAAGCCAAAAATTTAAAATTAAATTTAGAAAAATAATGTGTTTTCGAATGAGATGTGTTATTTTCAAAGAAACAAAGAAACAAAGAAACTTTTCTCTTAAAAGATCCGTCTTATTGATAGTAAACGTTGTTCAGATCCATACCATCAAATTCCAACCATTTTCAAAGAAGTAAGGGCCATTGACCCCGCGGGACCGTAAACAGCTCCAAATCTTGGTTTTTCCGAGCCCTAGATATTATTTTTATTTTTTATATATATTTTATTTCTCAAATTTTTTATATATTTTTAAATTTTTTTTCTTGCCTTTTTGTTATAAAATTTATTAATTTTTTATATTTTTTGGTACTTTAATTTTTATATTTTTTAGTATATAATATTTCATATTTTATAGTACTTTATTCTCTATATTTTTTGTACTTTATTTTTTATACCTTCAGTACTTTTTATATTTTTAGTACTTTATTTTTTATATTTTTAGTACTTAATTTTTTATATTATTTGGGACTTTATTTTTATATTATTTAGTACTATATTTTTGGTATTTATTAATACTGTATTTTTTATATTAATTAATACTTTATTATTTAGTGCTTTATGTTTATATATTATTAGTACTTAATTTTTTTATATTTTTTAGTACTTTATTTTTTTTACTTTTTGATACTAAATTTTTTATATTTTTTGTTATATTTGTTTTATATTTTTAATACTTTATTTTATATTTTTTAGAACTTTATTTTTTTAACTTTTTAGTACTCAATTTTTTTTAGTACTTATTTTTTATGTTTAGTTCTTTATTTTCATACTTTTTAGTACTTTATTTTTTATATTATTTAGTTCTTTATTTTTTATATTATTTAGTACTTTATTTTTTATATTATTTATTACTATATTTTTTAAATTTAATAATACTTTATTTTTTATATTTAATAAGACTTAATTTTTTATATTAATTAATACTTTATTTTTTATACTTTTTAGTACTTTATATTTTATATTTTTAGTACTTAATTTTTTATATTATTTAGGACTTTATTTTTTATATTATTTAGTACTTTATTTTTTGTATTTATTAATACTGTATTTTTTATAATAATTAACAATTTATTTTTTATATTTTGCACTACTTTATTTTGACAAAAATTTAGTCTTCAATTTCAGTTTTATGTTCTTTGCGTTTACTCTTTGGAAAAGAAGTTCATTATAAACTATTTTTTTATTTCTTCAACTTTTCCTTTTCATAGATAAACACCGCTGTTTTGGGCACAGAATTATCACTAATTCAGCGACCAGCCATACGGGATAAACACGTTAAGCGCGTGAGTAAGCTGGCATCCAATTGCAGTGGGTAAGAATTCGTTCATAAATAAATAAATACTATAACTACAGTCAACGCAATATATGTATATTTTCTTCCGCACTCGAATCACTTTAGTTGTCGTGGTATTGGCAGTGCCGCCGTTACACTCTGTTATGTGGCGCGCGGCAGCATAGACTGTTTTGCCGTTGAGGATCTACAACCTTGGGATATCGCAGGAGGCGCTTGTATAATACGTGAAGCTGGTGGCATAGTATGTCATTCGAAAGGTGGTGAATTTTCGATATTAAAACCAGATTGTATTGCTGCCGCAACACCTGAACTAACAAAAGATATGATTGCCTTGATCAACGAAGCGGATGAGTTGAAGGAGTTTACTTTTTGAAATTTTTATGTAATGTTTAAAAAAAAAAAACATTTTTTGTTACTGAGTGAGAAATAGGTATGCATACTTGGACAGTGAGTGGCGTTTTCAAAGATTTTCTGTTATTTTAATATAGTGTTGTGGAAATTTGATATAAATTCGAAAATATAGATTATTAATAAAATTTTATTTACTTTGTATTGAATTCAAAAAAAAATTTAAAAACAATGTACAAAATTTAATAGCTCAGAGAGTATTAATATAAAAAATTTATATTTTAATAAAAAAAAAACCAGAAAAAAATCGCTGACTTCCTTCACTCTATAGTATTGTATGGCCTACAACATTGCTATTTTTAAACATTCTCAATAGGTATGGCTTCAAAACGAAACAAAGTGTAAAGTCGTTTATTAGTGTACAAGTAAATATGCATTACGACATGCAAATATACATATATTATTATGTATTTTCATTGCACAATCTCATTCAACTCTATTATCTGTATGCAAATTTTTATCAAAGAAAAATACATAAATAAAAATTGAAAATACTTTGTCACGCTTAATAGGTAAATAAGATTAGATAAAATTGCTTTGAGAGCCGCTTAGATAAGTAGCAAGTTCTCATATAATTTTTTTTTTGTTTTTTATTTTGTTATTTATTTTTTTGTTATTTATTTATTTGTTTTTATTTATTTTTTTTTATTTATTTTTTTTATTAATTTTTTTTATTTATTTTTTTTATTTATTTTTTTTATTTATTTTTTTTTATTTATTTTTTTTATTTATTTTTTTTATTTATTTTTTTTATTTATTTTTTTTATTTAGTTTTTTTATTTATTTTTNCTTATTTTTTTTTACTTATTTTTTTTTTAATTTATTTTTTTAATTTGAATTTACGCTTTTAAATCAGGTAAATGTTTTTACTTTGATTTAATAAGTTAATGGAAAATTTAAGAGAAATACTGTCTTCAACACAAAGAAATAAAAACAAAACTCAAGTACAGGGTTAGAGCTCTCAACAAAGCAAATTGCTTCTTCAAATAAAAGCAGCAAATAGTCGAAAAGCTACAAAAAATATTTTACTAAATACTTCAATATTCTAAACACAATTAACTGTGAGTATACGCAAACACTTGTACATAAATATGTATATATGTATTTATAAATGCAAAAAATAAAATAAAGAACTGAACAATTTGTCTTTTTTCTCTTTGCATGCAAAATCATATAGAGAGGGAGCATGATAAAACACACTCATAGGTTAAAAAAAAAACAAATGTATGAATAAAAAATCTTTATCGCTCCATAGCAAAATTTCAACAGCCGAAAGAGTTAGTCGGTTTTTTTGTGGCACATTATAATCAACTGGGTTTATTTAATTTTTTCTTCTCTATTTGGTTTTTCTGCCATCTCACAACTCTCGCGCTCTTCTCTAGCATAAGTGCTCATCTTAATTGTGCCAACAACAAAATAAAGCAAAATTTATATAAAAAAATGCTTCCGCTAAGCAGTCAGTTGTTGGCGATACATCAGTGTAACAAGTACTTGCTCAGTAAAGGCAGAGCAGCAGCAAGTGCAATTTTAGCAACAATAATAACAAAAAGAAGCGTAAAGAAGAATATTAAACAAAACGAAGATATACAAAGGAACAACAAAAATTCAACTTTCTTGTCCTTGACATCTTACTACGCACACTTCCCACTACTAAAACAACAGCAACAACAACAACAAACCACATTCACCTATCCACTAACCACAATTTCTAATATACGCACAGCAGTAACAACAGCAAAAGCAGCAGAAATGTCAAATAAAAGTGATATTGATATACGTAACTATTATAATGTCGCTTTAGAATTGGTAATGAAATGTGGTCCTATGATACGTGAGGGTTATAGTAATGCCGATGCGGTTTATAAACAAAAAGCAGCATTCTTTGATTTAGTTACCAAATATGATAAGGAAATTGAAGATATACTCGTTGAGGGCTTGCATAAAGCTTTTCCCGAATCGAAATTTATCGGTGAAGAAGCTGTAGCGGAGAGTGGTAAAGTGCCTGAGTTGACGGATGCGCCAACATGGATAATTGATCCAATTGATGGTACCACAAATTTTATACATCGCATACCACATTGGTGTATATCGGTAGGTTTGGCAATCAATAAAGAGTTAGTAGCGGGTATTGTTTACAATCCCATAGCAAATGAAATGTATTCGGCATGGAAGGGTCATGGCGCTTATTTGAATGGTCAGCGTATACATGTGAGGAAATGTACCGAAGTAAGTATTTATGCAAAGAAATGTTGTTATGTGTATGTGTCTGTAGGGTTTGAGTAAGTTGATTTAATTTGGGCAAAAAAAAAAAATATTGTTATCAACTAGTGAAGTTTGATAAGACTTCAAAGTGTTTTAGGTATTGATTAGCTTAAGTGATATAATTATAAATAATAAATAAATAAAGCAAAGAAACATAAACACAAGGCAATGTTTAGGTATTCTAATGTTGATTTTTTAAGTTTTAGAGAAAGTTTTGTGTATTTTGGCCTTAGAAAACAGCGTCGGAATTTAAAAATGTAAATATTTTTTTAAGTTAAATTTTAAATTTGGACAAATTTCATTTTATTTTAAACAACAAAAACTTCTAACTTTTATTTTTTAAAAAATAACGCAAAACGGTATTTTTGAACTAATCTAATATAAATTTTTTTAAATTCGGAAAAATTTACTCTTTTTTTTTTAATTAAAAAAATATAAATTAAAATTAAAATTTTATTTTCTCATTAGAGGTTCTTTTAAGAATGAATTATTTGAAAGCACTATCTATATCTTATGTATATTTTTTTTAGAGTCAGTTGGAAAGTTGACAAAATTGTGTTCATTATTTTTATTTTCTGATATCATGTTACTTTATCTCAAGAGATTACTGTAATAAAGGCTACGTTTAAACAGAATCACTAACTAATCTGCAAATATTTATAATTTACACCCTGTGTGTAAATATTTTACATATTTTACCTTATAATTTCATCATATACATAGCATGCAAACCTCTGAAGATTGTGAAAGCAGAAATTTAATCTTTAGAATTAAGCAAACAATAAAACTGCAATTAAGCACTTAACGGTGCAGCTATTGTATTAACAGTTTGTTCTATATTACAGATGAACGATGCCGTTTTGGCTTACGAAATTTCACTCATACACGCAGCTGCAGTACGTGATAAGAATGTTAAACGCATCTCAAAACTCGCCGCAAATAGCACTGGGTAGCTATGATAAAAATCTATATATATATATATATTTTTTTTAAGAAACTATTTCTTTATAGCACACGTTGTATGGGTAGTGGCGCATTGACACTCTGTTACGTAGCTCGCGGCAGCTTTGATTGTTATCATGTTGAAGATCTGCAAGCTTGGGATATAGCCGGTGGCGCAGTTATACTACGTGAAGCTGGTGGTGTGCTTTATCATACTACAGGCGGTGAATTTCATATTATGAAGCCCGATTTGATTGCTGCAGCTACACCGGAATTGGCTAAGACTATGGTCGGTTTGATTAAGGAAGCTGATGCAATGACTGACTTTACATTTAAATAATTTTGCAGTGAAGCAAATATATAAACACACCTTGTGTGCCCAAATATTATACTCCATATATATATGTAAATATTAAATATAACAAATTTTAAATACTTACATTTGGTGGCATTCCATGTGTTTGATATCCCATTGGCGGCATATTAGGGCCTTGCGGTGGCATTTGCATACCCATATGCGGACCTGCATACAAAAAAATATACGTATGTGTAATAATATTTTTCATCAATGTATACGTATATACGGTACTTCTGCAACTACTTACCCATGCCTTGATGATGCGGCGCCATGTGATGCCCTTGTGGAGGCGGTCCTGGTGGACCAGGTGGTCCCGGCGGTCCTTGGCCTGGTGGCCCATTCATATGCGGTGGTGGTGCACCTTGTACTCCCGGTTGTTGTTGTGGTCCTGGCGGGCCGTGGGGTGGTGGCACACCGTGTGGTGGAGGTGCATGCGACATTGGTGGGCCACTGCCTGGTGCACCGCCACTACCCGGTGGTGGAGGCCCATGCTGCCCTTGTGGCACTTGCCCATGTGGTGGCTGTGGTGGACCATGCTGTCCCACACCATGTTGTCCAGGCGGCATCGCACCATGCTGTTGATGTTGTGGTGGTCCATGTGGTGAGCCATGCGGTGGCGCATGTTGCATAGGGTGCGTGTAAGGCCCACCAGGATGACCAGGTGGCCCCGGTGGTGGTCCGTGATGACCTGTTGGTGGTAGTGGACCGTGTTGACTATGTGGGGGTGGTCCCTGCATATGTGATTGTTGTGGCGGTCCATGTGGTGGACCCGTTGACCCAGCTCCAGATGGCCCTTGTTGACCTGGCGGACCCTGTGGCATTTGTTGATGTGGGTAGGGACTATGAGGTGAAGGTGATGGGCTTTGAGCCGGTGGTGCCTGAGGCGGCGGCATTGGACTGTTTGCCGGTGAGGGTGAAGTCATATTCACCCTGCGATTGTGGTGTGGTTTCACAAAGAGATCAGCTTAAAGAATTTATAACGAATTGGTATGAGACAACCACACAGATATACACGAATACTAATCCAAAAACTTCCTATGAGAAACTAGTTTTCAAAACCTCTTTTCTCTGTAAATATCGCAAACTATGTCCAATTGTAAATGCATAAATGTTAGTCTGAAGTCACTCTACACGAACGTACATATTTTTAGCCACTAATTTTATTTTATATAGCTCTATTTCGCCATTTCTCTGGCCACACACACGATTATTGTTTTGTATAGCGACGCGAGAAGAAAATTCAATGGCTGCCATGAAATATTCACAAATGTCAAAATTATATTGGCAGTTGTGCGTACCGGCTGTCATTTATGACACAGAAATATCGATAAGTTATCGAAGTTATTGCAAGAGACAAACATCTTAACAAACTGTTACTACGTTAGTAATTTATTCTCTTCATCAACTGTTTGACGAAATAGTCAAGAATTTTTCCAATTCAAAAATATTTGAAAATTTCTTTATGTATAAAGGGTGTGAGTTGAGGGTTGTCTAAATTTTGCACAAAAAAACCTATGATTATGCTCTCTATTGGAGATGATTTCCATAATTTATACTTGTCTCTTAGAAAAGAATGAAACATGATGACTAGTTAAATATAGGTAAATGCATTATAGTTTTATCAAAGGTTTGAATAAATTTCATACAACTGAATTGCTCTGATATTAACAGATCATATTAAACATATCGATTATATGACAAACACCGAAAACTTTAATTAAAAAAATCGATATAAAATCAACAATTCTAGAGAAACCAAGGCGCGAAATCCAATAGAACACATTTAAATGGTTTGAGAAGATTTGTTTAGTGTAAAATTTTATTTTTTGCCTATTACGCGATACTAGTTTAAGTCAAATAAATAGTGAAATGAGTGGGTTTTCAGGCAAAAGAAAGTTTCCTGAAAATGGTAATGCAGTTAAGAATGGACAGGCGGCAGGCGGAAAACAACAAAAGAAATGGTTTTTATCTGTTTTATGTTAATTGATACATTCATGAACGAAAACCATTTTATAATATACTTCTCCAGGAACGATGATGATGATGATGATTTTGATGGTATGGACTTCGATTTTGCCGGCGATGGTGATGGTGATGGAGATGCTTTATTAGGCGAAGGTCCAGAAAACCAACAAACCTCGGTTAAATGGTCTCGTGTTGATCCACCTGACTTAGATCCATCAAGTGATGGGCTAACATTTCAACAAATAGATGTCGAAAATTACCTAGGTGAGCCACTACCAGGCATGCCGGGCGCTCAAATTGGTCCGGTACCAATAATTCGTATGTTTGGTATAACTATGGAAGGTAACTCAGTTTGTTGTCATGTACATGGTTTCTGTCCCTATTTCTATATTGCGGCGCCACGCAGCTTTGAGCGTAAACACTGCAATGCGCTGCGAGAAGCACTAGATAAAAAAGTATTAGCAGATATGCGTAGCAACAAAAATAATGTACAGGAAGCTGTCTTGGAGGTACAACTCGTGGAGCGTCTCAATATTTACGGTTATCAGGGAGATGAGAAACAACGCTATATAAAAATAACAGTAACAATGCCTAAATTGGTTGCGGCGTCTGTGCGTCTGATGGCCAATCAAATTATCATGTCTGATTTCGATTTTCAAGATTGTCGTGCATTTGAAAGCAATATCGACTTCGATATACGCTTCATGGTAGACACACATGTGGTCGGCTGCAATTGGATTGAATTACCAGCAGGTACATGGCGTATTCGTAATAAGAACACTAAACCCTTACCAGAATCGCGTTGTCAAATTGAGGTTGATGTGGCGTATGATAAATTTATATCACACGAACCTGAAGGTGAATGGGCAAAGGTAGCACCTTTTCGTATATTATCATTTGATATTGAATGTGCCGGACGTAAAGGTATTTTCCCAGAGGCCAAAATGGATCCAGTTATACAGATTGCCAATATGGTCATACGACAAGGTGACCCAGAACCTTTCATTAGAAATGTGTTTACATTAAATAATTGTGCCCCAATTGTTGGCTCCCAAGTACTCTGTTTCCCTAAAGAAACTGACCTTTTAGAAGCTTGGTCCAGTTTTGTACGAGAAGTTGATCCGGATATTTTAACAGGTTATAATATCAATAATTTCGATATACCCTACTTGCTCAATCGCGCTGCACATTTGAAGGTGAAGAATTTCGAGTATCTTGGACGGATACGTAATATTCGTTCAGTTATCAAGGAACAGGTGCTACAATCAAAGCAAATGGGACGGCGTGAGAATAAGTATGTGAATTTTGAAGGGCGCGTGCCTTTCGATTTACTCTTTGTATTATTGCGTGAATATAAGCTTCGTTCCTATACGCTCAATGCTGTGAGCTACCATTTCTTACAAGAACAAAAAGAAGATGTACACCACAGTATAATCACGGACCTGCAGAATGGTGATGAACAAACACGACGCCGTCTGGCTATGTACTGTCTAAAAGACGCCTACTTACCATTACGCTTGCTCGACAAATTGATGTCGATTGTAAATTACATGGAAATGGCTAGGGTAACAGGTGTGCCACTAGAATCGTTGCTCACAAGAGGACAACAGATAAAGGTATTGAGTCAGTTGTTGCGTGCAGCGCGCACTAAGGGTTTCATCATGCCTGCCTATCAGTCTAAGGCCTCTGAAGATCAATACGAAGGTGCTACTGTGATTGAACCCAAACGTGGTTACTACGCTGATCCAATAGCGACACTCGATTTCGCCTCTCTATATCCCAGTATCATGATTGCACATAATCTCTGCTATACAACGTTGGTGCAACCAGGCATGAAGGAACGTTTGAGTTTGACGGACGCACAGGTGGAACGTACACCAGCTAATAATACATTCGTACGCTCAGATGTACGCACGGGGCTGTTGCCAGAAATTCTGCAATCTCTATTGGCAGCACGTAAGCGTGCCAAGAATGACTTAAAGGTACATAAATATCAAATATGTTAAATTTTTCGTCTATCATAAAATATTACTAAACTAGGTTGAAAAAGATCCCTTCCGACGCAAAGTGCTCGATGGTCGACAATTGGCTTTAAAGATTTCGGCGAATTCAGTTTATGGCTTCACTGGCGCACAAGTAGGCAAGCTGCCTTGTCTAGAGATATCGGGCAGTGTTACCGCTTACGGTCGCACAATGATTGAGCTGACCAAAAATGAGGTTGAGCTACATTATAAAATTGCCAACGGTTATGAGAATGATGCAGTGGTTATTTATGGCGATACAGATTCAGTGATGGTTAATTTTGGTGTAAAAACTTTAGAGCGTGCTATGGAACTGGGACGGGAGGCTGCAGATATTGTGAGCGCAAAGTTTGTACGCCCCATCAAATTGGAATTCGAAAAAGTCTACTATCCTTATTTGCTAATTAATAAGAAACGTTATGCGGGTTTGTATTTCACGCGTCCTGAAACGTACGATAAAATGGATTGCAAGGGTTTGTATTATAATTTATACTTAAATGTTTTCATTTGTTTAACTATTTTGTTTTTAATATCTACACCATGTCCAGGTATTGAAACAGTACGTCGCGACAACTCACCGCTCGTTGCGAATCTCATGAATACTTGCCTACAAAAGTTGCTTATCGAAAGAAATCCCGACGGCGCTGTTGACTATGCGAAGCGGGTTATAGCCGATTTACTCTGCAATCGTGTTGATATATCCCAACTGGTGATTACCAAAGAGCTGGCAAAGACTGATTACGCTGCGAAGCAAGCGCATGTGGAGTTAGCGAATAAAATGAAGAAACGTGATCCAGGCACAGCGCCCAAGTTGGGTGATCGCGTGCCATACGTTATATGCGCAGCCGCGAAAAATACGCCAGCTTATATGAAAGCAGAAGATCCACTTTATGTGCTCGAGAATTGTGTGCCCATCGACGCGAACTACTATCTGGAACAACAACTGTCCAAGCCTTTATTGCGTATATTTGAGCCACTACTCGGTGATCGGGCAGAATCCATTCTTTTGAGTATGTTATGTTAAATAACGCAAACAAATTACAACAAAATTACCAAAAACTTTCGTAATAACTATATTGAAATTATACTTTCAGAGGGTGAACACACGCGCACACGTTCTGTGGTCACTTCGAAAGTTGGTGGTCTTGCTGGTTTTATGACCAAAAAGTCCTCCTGCCTTGGCTGTCGCGCTTTGATGCCGGCTGGTTATGAAAAGGCCGCACTGTGTCCACATTGCGAGCCACGCATGAGTGAATTATATCAGCGTGAAATTATAGCAAAGCGCTCTTTGGAAGAGACCTTCGATCGCTTATGGACCGAATGTCAACGTTGTCAGGGTTCACTGCATGAAGAGGTTTTATGCTCGAATCGCGATTGCCCAATTTTCTATATGCGTCAAAAGATACGCATGGATTTGGATACACAAGAGAAGCGCGTACAACGTTTCGGTGCGCCCGACTGGTGATGGATTGTATCATTTTATTGCATGACTATTACGTGTGTGCCTAGAACTTAATAACCTATTAAGTTTGGCTAATGAAATATTTATATTTTGTTTCAATAACTGATCAAAGAATGCCGATTTGTTATTTGGTTTGTCTAAATAAATTTTTTTAATTGTCTAAAAAAATTTTAATTTTTTGGTTTTCATGGAATTGATTCAGATCAGAAAATTACAACAGATTTGGACTGCTATTTCAGAAACCACCACGTTTTCTCATCAAATACCTTTTTCCCAGACACCTTTGTTCGAATTTAATTCGAACTTGGGATGTAAACAGCACGATCCAATGGTTATCCCATAATGCTGCATGTGTGCCGCTTTTACTTTTCCTTTTACCTACATATACACGATCAAGTGCTCAGATATTCTGTAGCTGTAAAACTTGACGCGATGTAGTTGTTTTTGCGTAGGATTTACCAACAATTATTTTAAGGCAACGCGCTTTTTATTATTGGAAATTTTCATTTGCACGGCGCGGTAATTTTTTTTAATTGTTTTAAATAAAAATTGCATAACAAAATATTTTATACTTTTTTTTATCTCTTTTTTATTAATGCTATCAATATGTTTTTATTTTTACAAAGATACCGCGCCAATTGTTAGCTATAAACTAAAAATACCTACTATGCGCGTTGGTGGTAGTAAGCGCGACGCTACGCTATTTTTTATAAGACGCTTAAAATTAGTTCAATTTTTTCTTTCTGCTCTTTTTTGCCTACTGACAAAACTGGAAATTAATTGCAAGATATTAGCATCCAGGCAAAGCCTTTTTAAATACATTTTAATTACTTTAATATTTGCTTTTCCATAAACGCTTTAAATAGTAATTTTCAAAACAAAAAAAAAAAAAAAAATATGCGCCGACTTGCTTAAAAATTAATTTTTTTATGTATGTATTTATGTGGGCGCGTCGTGGTGTGGTCACATCATAATATTGCGTTTCTTTTTTTCAATGCATATTTTCTTATAAATGTACACTTGCATTATTTGCCTTATGTGGTGCCTACCAACAACAAATTAATTGATTTCATTCATTTGATTTGTTTTCTTTATATGTATATATATAAAATGCATATAGTAATTACTTAAAATTAAGAACAAATAAAAATATTTTAAAGAACTCTTCTTCTTTTTTTCTTGTTTTTGTTTTTTGTTTTGGGGAAACAGTTGGGTTGGAAATTCTATGTATAGATGATTATTTCTAGTTGCACTATTTACGACTTTGCAACGTATTTGAAAGCCAATCCATCGCCTGATCTAAGCCTTCACCTTTGGTCGCTGATGTTTTGAATATTTGGAAAGTGCGATTTTTTAAATTCTCCAAACCAAGCGCATGATGCACTTCGGCAACGGTCATACAACCCTCCATATCTTGTTTATTTGCCAGCACAACAAGTATGGCGCCGGCAAGTTCCTCTTCCTGTGAGCAAAAAGCACAAAAATATTATAATTATAACAAAACATAAATTATGTCACAATAAAAATAATCACCCTCAACATGTAGAGCAGCTCATCTTTTGATATACCTATCCGATCGCGATCTGCAGAATCCACTACATAAATTATAGCATCTGTATTGCTATAGTAACAACGCCAATACGGTCTGAAAAACAAAGGAAAAACGGGGATATAGAGATGAGTGAAATATCGCTTTAATTAGCCACTTTATTTACCAACCTTATACTCGTCTGTCCACCCAAATCCCATACTTGGAATTTCAAATTTTTGTATGTAACCTGTTCGACGTTGAAACCGATTGTCGGTATTGTTGTGACCACTTCACCGACTTGCAGGCGATAAAGTATAGTTGTTTTACCAGCGCCATCCAGACCCAATATCAGTATGCGCATTTCGCGTGAACCGAGCAGTCCACGAAAGTAGCTCAAAACACCACCTAAGATTATGAGTGAATAATAGTTTAATAAGAGTCAAATTAATTAGGACACTACAGCATTTTTTTAAGGATCGTTGACTCATAACACCGGTCGTCACACAATTGCCACAAAGGCTCTACCTTTTTGCACCTTTGCCTATCTGTCATTTGTGGTGTCACACACACAGCACTTACCCATTTTATTGTATTTTTACTACTATGGTAAGTTGATAACGGTGTTGTTGATCTGATTAGAGAAAAAAGCGTCTTTTACTTTTGTTTTAATTGTTACGGCTATATGGTTTAATGCATGCACATTTGGTTTAATTAATATAACTACATATGTGAAAATAATTCGTATTTTCACTTTTTTTAACTCAGACGATGAGTACGGTTTGACTTATGTCAAAAGTTGTTTGTCATGCGTAGCGGTTATGACGTGTCTGTGCAAAATAGTCGCAGGGCTGCAACTAGCATGAAACGGTTAAATAAAGAAAATTATAACTGAAAGGATTATTAAATTGTTGTTAAAAATTTTTAAGGAAAGTGACAGAATCTCACATGAAAATTGTGAAATAACATAAAAACTTAGTTCACCCTGTTTTCCAAGTGGTGGGCAAAAAATATTCTTTGACTTGATATTCGATCGATTCCTCTTATTCCTCTTATTGTATATCAGGCGAATTGGAAAAGCAAACATATGATGGGACCACTTCAGCATCTATGATTTTGCTTTGAATTTAAAAATATTTTATTTCATGTATCAAATTTGTAAAAGCCGAGCATTTATATGAAAAAACGAGACACTCTTAATTTAATTTTAATATATTTTATTTATTTATTGGTAATCCCTTATGGTCTGCATTACAATTATTTCAACTTTACGGATTACTAACGATTATTTAAATGTTCACCCATATACGACAAATACGGTTATGTCTTGAGATTTATTTATTATACTTTACAATGCCCTTAAATAAATTTATTTTGAATATTATTCTTACAATTAAAATTTTTTATTTATCATAAAAATTTTTACTGTGAAAAATTTCTACATGTTGCTGTTTTTTTTATCGAATTTAATGAATACAACGTACGTTTTGAAAAAAAAATATTAAATTAAGCAATTGATAAATTATTTTATAGTAAAATGCTTTTGTTTATCTAATTACAGAAATATGTATTCCCTCTTTTGTTGAATGTTCAATTAATAATTTTCTGTATTTATTAATTGTTTTTAGCATTGCAAATCCTTACAGTAATATATAGTTTATATACTTTATTTATTTCTCTTTTTTTAATATAAATACACACATACATTTACATATATAAAGCACACATAGATCATATTTCTGAAATTTCGTAAGATTTTTCGAAAACAAGTTAAAAAAAATCAATAAAAATATTTTTATATATTTTTATAAACATTTTTATCATTTTATTATTAAATATATTGCATCGAAAAAGTTTACTGCAGTTAATATACATACATATATTATATTTTGCAAAAATGTGTACTAGTAAAACGATGTGCTAGAAAATATCAGTCGGAAATCTTATAAACAGTTATTTTTTTTTTATTCAATTCCCTTATTAGAAGTATGTTATTGAATTTTAAAGAAATAGTGTAGCTTGATTTTTATAAAATTGTAATATCTATATATTTATATGTAGATTGTTAAATATTAAACGGCGAAAATGTTCAAGCAAATCGGCAAAAAATTAATAATAAAAATAATAATAAATATAATAACAAAAAAAATAAAAAAAATTAAAAATAAAATATAAGAAAGAATATAAAAAATGACAAGGAAACTAAATTAATACAAAAGAATTTAATAAAAAAAATAATAAATTAAATTATTATAAAATAAATTGAAGAATTAAAAAAATAAAAAACAGAATAAAAAAATATTAAAATTAAAAAAATCAGGATATATAAAAAATAATAATAAAAAAAATAAAATTTAATAATAAAAAAAATATAAAATTTAATAATAAAAAAATATAAAATTTAATAATAAAAAAAATTAGAAATAATAATAAAAAATAATACAAATAAAAAAATAAAAAAATAAGAAATAATAAAAAATAAAAAACAGAATAAAAAATATTAAAATTAAAAAAATCAGGATATATAAAAAATAATAATACAAAAAAAAAAAATTAAATTTAATAATAAAAAAATATAAAATTTAATAATAAAAAAATTTAAAATTTAATAATAAAAAAAAATTAGAAATAATAATAAAAAATAATGCAAATAAAAAAAAAATAAAAAAATAAGAAATAATAAAAATAATAAAAGAAAAAATAAAAAATAATAATAAAAAATAATAATAATAAAAAATATCAAAAAATAATGACAAAATATAAAAATAGAATAAAATAAAAATAGATAAAAAAAATTTATTAAAAAAAATGTAAAACCAATTTATCCTCCTCAGCCCACTGAGACTACATTTAAAATATTTTGGAAACAAATTATAACAAATAATAAAAACAATATAATTTTAAAATTATCTAAAGTGAGCTGGAGATTTAAAAAAAATACTATTGAATGTATGAAAAATTTCAAAATACCAAAAAAATATACACTCGATAAATAAAGAAAAATTCAAATTTCATATTTTTTTGCTCTTTCATAAATTCAATAACAAACTAAGAAACGTTTAAAAAACTATTTTTTATATCTATATGCGTAAATAAGTAGTTTTATATGTTGCAACACATCAAGCATGCCTTGTTATGATTTTTTATATATATTTATTAGCAACTTTATTCAATATACATAAATTAATGTATTAATACAAGTTTTAAGTTAAAAAGAAAATATGTCAAGCATATGAAATTTAAATGGTAATGTGTAGTAATTATGTAAGCATGTTTGGCTGACTAGAATGTTTGGTGCAAACTGTTTTGTTTTATTTTATTTTTTACTTTTTTCTTAGTATAAATATGTAATTTTACTTTAATAAATATTATTATTTATATATGTTTGCATAAAAATGAATGCTTTGAAATGTAGAGTCTCTCTTTTTTGCCAATATTTGCATAATAATTATTGACATATACAAATATTTTGCGGTATTTATTTTAATTTCTATATATTTTTGGTATACTTACACACATAACTATTGTTAAATTGAAGCATTTTCTTTTAAGATTTTCTTATATTGTTTTTGTTTGTTAATTCATATTAATATTAACTTTTCGATAATTTTTAGAAAAACATACATTTTTATTTTACTCTCGATTTGTTTAATATAAGTATTTGGTGTTTTATTTTCGTTTATATATTTTTTTATAAATATTTAGGCTTTGAATCGTGCTTTTTGGTTATTCGTTGGAAAAAAAAAATGATTTTAGCAAAAAAAAAGTGTGTTTAGAAATTTTCGAAAGAATCGTGTGTATACATGCCATGTATATTTTTTTAATCTTTAAGTAATTTTAGTACTAAGTATAAATTATTTGTTTTTTTTTTTACTCACTGGTAGCTAAATGCATTTGCATACATTTTTCCGGCTGCTTTTTGTTTGGTGGGTAAAAAAACTATCGTTTCCTTATTGGCGCAGCAAAAAGAACTCAAATGGTAGCTTGTGCTAAGTGTTTTATAAAAAAGAGATGGAAATTAAAATTTGTGCACACTTTAGAATTTGCTATGTGGATTTTGTTTTGTTTTGTATTTGTTTTACAACTATTCTTGTAGTAAATTTATTTAATTTTTTTTTTTAATTTCGTCAACTTTTATTCAAATTTTTTTTAGTATTCTCTAAGATTTTTATACATATGTACGTTTTTTTTGTATCTTTGGTGGGAAACATGCATAACCGTGATAGTGACAGTTACAGCTGTGAAAATAAGTTGATTGCAAAGTATAATTTAATATTTTTTAATAAATCAACGAATATAATATAAAAAAAAGATGTACTTTTTATTGCTGAGAAAATAAAAACATGAGTGTGCGTGCTCAAAAATTTGTTTACTTTATGTGTGTATGCTTTTAATTATAATATTAAGTATAAATGCCATTTTATAATATTTAGTGAATTGCAAAAAAAATTTAAAACAAATTTTAAATGTTAAACAAAGCTATACATATTTACATCTGCCAGGCAGAGTGTAAATAACCAACATTTTTTATAACTTTAAGGCCACAAAAACATAAACAAATTAGCAAATTCAATTGTATTTAAATAGAAAAAATGTCAAAAACAAAAGTTTTATGGATATTGCTTTCTTTCCTCGACTTTTTCAAGTATTTAGAATGTATTTTCGTTTAAATAAAATATTCATATATATATGTATGAACTTATTCATGTGCTTATTATACAATTTTGTCTTTTTAGTATACTATATTTATATATATATATATATATGTAAATAAAGTGACGTTTAGGTTAAAAATGCGCGAAGTGAGGTGTTTATTACGAATTTTCGCAGTTTTATGGGCACCCAAAAGCAGAGAAACCAGCTTATACCCGGTGTAATGATTTATAAAATTTAAGGTAAAATAAAACAGTAACACACAAATGCGTATATTAAAATTTTTAAAATGTTCAAATTTATGTATCAGCATATTTGTTGAAAAAGCAATAAAAAAAAAATAAAATAAATTAGCAAACATTTTTGCCACCTCACGTACGTAATTCGCATTTTACGCCTAAAAATCACTTTACTTTACAACTTATTAGTATTTATTACACCAAGGGATTTTTGTAAGAAATACATACAATACATTTTTCGTAACAAATTTTTCTTTTCTATGTATATTTTTAATGCTATTTCGTTTGCATTTTTATCTCTGCAATGCATACAATATCTTTTCTACTTGAACTTGAATCGGTTTACGTTGATCACACACATATATATTCGGCGCTATCCAATCAGCAAATGCACTACAGCCTATCATATAGTACATATTTAATTCCCTTTGTTCTTTTTGTGTTTCCTGCGTATACCTGAAGAATTTTCTATCAAATTGCTTGCAACTAAATATACACACAAGACAAAGCAGTTTAATTACTAAAGTTATTTGTCGAAAATTAAAAAAAAAATATCAAATATATATAAATATATATTACATAAAAAAATCTTACTCTAAACTACCAAAAAGGATACTCTTCATTTATTTCCAATTAAGTAGACATACAACTAAGTAGTTTTTGCTTTTTGCTGCAATAAATCATTATATAAAACGTACTACAAATAGCAATCTAAAAACAAGCATATATGTATATATATATATATACATAAGTATACTATTTAGTTTAAATTACAGTTGTATATATAATAAATATATTACTAAATACGCGGCATAACGAACTAAAAATTAATGTATGCTTTTTTCACGCATTTATTTTTCACCTAAGTAGTATTATTAACCTTAGAAATTATAGTTAATTAGGTTTACATATAATACAGTAAAAGTTTAATACGGTACTTATAGCAAATGTTCTTTGTGGCTTAATACACGCACGTTATCTAAGCAAGGGTTTTGTAGCGGTGGTAATTTGCATTACATTCATACTATAAATATGCGCTATACGCGCTAGAATAATTTAAGAAAAGTTTTAAAATATTTTACACCACTTCAAAACCACCTGTTTTACTCCTACCACACCCATCTATACTAGTCCTTTTACCTCACTCTAAATAATGCACTTTTAGAATATGCCTTTGATTGTTTAGCTTTACGGCCCAGCCATGTCTTGCCATGTCTTTTTGCACTTAAACGTTTGCTATGGGCGCATTGCGCGTCTCCGCATCCCGATTCGACTTATCCTACACATACTGATAGTGTGCCAACTCCGTGCCGCCACCTTCACCATCGGCATTACCGCGCAGCAGCGGTTCTTGCTCCACCGTTGTACGTCCCACTTGCATATCCATATCATAGTAGTTCATCCAATCGATTTGACGTGGTTGTACCATACCAAAACATTTACATTCCAGGAAATCGACCAAATTATTGAATGGACCACGTGTGAAAGGACTTTTGCCACCTTTCGCTTGAAAATGTCGATAACGGCCACGATTCATACGTTCGTTAGTGGTCATACCGAGGCATATGACTTGATATGTCTGGCAGATGGTTAGTAGCACGACCCAAGAGAGATGCAGCAAAGCATTGGCCATAACCCAACCTACCCAGGCATTGCAATTGGCTATATCGTAAATTGCTTTTTGGAAATCCGCAAGTGGTACGAGCGTGAAACGTACATTGCATTGATATATGTAATAACAAGCGCCACCGTATAACATCCAACCGCACATAATGAGTAACATCCAAAGAAAACCCATGAAGTATGCGTGATTTTTGAGACCAATACAATTGCCAACCCAGGGACAATGATGATCGAAACGAGCTACGCAGCGATCGCATACACTGCAATGTTTCGAACGTATGGGACGACGCACCAAGCAGCCAGAACAGAAGGAGGAGGGTTCAAAGCCGATACCGCCGCGTTCTGATAACTCTATAATCGTCTGAAATGAAATGGCATATTGTTAAATAGATAAGATAACGTAAATATACAAAGGTATTATAGAAAAAGTGCACATAACAAGTGTACGCGTTTATAAACATTTTGCAAAACCTCAAATGAATTCTTACTTTGAATCGTTGCTCTTGTGTCGGACGTATAATGCCTGGATCTCCCTTCCACGATTTCATAAAACAAACCCAAAGCACACCAGAACTTGCCAGAAAAGCTAATGTTTCCATAAACGACACTGCATCCACAATATATACAATCCATGTTACATAAAACCACGCCTTCGACGCCAGGTAAACACTTAGCGGCAATAACGTAAGCAAGTGTTCATCGAATAACGCTTTACCAAGCGTATGGAAGATGGCATACAAACAACCAAGCAGGAAGAATTTAATTATATACAATGTATTCAGTGTAAATACCACACCGGCCAAATAAAAGGCCGTAAAGGGGCATGCCACCATTGCCCACCAACGTAGCCGTTTATCATGCCGTAGCCGTGATATCAAAGATCTTTGCGGTTGGGTTTTTTGTGAAGCCTCACGTATACGATCCAATACTTTATTACCAATCCATATGGCACCTGCTTGCGTTTCCAGCATACTTAGAGGCGTTTCGCCACGCAGATTAGGAACGTCAAGGGAGGCGCGTGATTTTAATACCAAAGTCGATATGGCAGTAGCATTACGCGCAAGTATGGCCCAATGTAACGCTGTATTGCCGTGTGTGTAATCAACCATTGCGGGATTAGCACCAAGAGTGAGCAATAAACGCACGGGATCTAGAGCGCAGACCTAGAAAAAGTTTCAAATAAAATTTTTTTTACGTAACAAAAATTAAGTTGAATACGAAAACTACTAACCTTCCATGCAGCCCACATCAGCGCAGTCATACCACCGCGATCTTGTAGGTCTGGATCAACACCTTTTGCTATGAAATATGCCACCAATGCTGTGTGCGCAAATTGTGCGGCAATGTGTATACAGGAGCAACCCTCAGCGTCACGTATTCGTGGATCAGCACCAGCATTCATAAGTAACACAACAGAACCCAGATGCCCTTGTCGTGTTGCCCAATGCAATGGTGTAGCATTCAATTCACCACCTACTGCATCTACTATTGCGCCTTTCTCCAAAAAATATCGTATTATATCGCGCCTATTATTAATAGCTGCCCAATGTAGCAAAGTTACAGTCTCACTATCGGGTTGATTAACATCCCAACCCGATTCAATTAGTTCACGCACACGTGCTATAGCGCCATATTGTGTCGCTTTGACTATATCGAAGCCACTGTAATCTGGTTCCACTGGCGCAGTGGGTGGTTGCTGTGCCATAAGCGCAGCCTGACGTTCTGCTTCGCGATCATTTTCAGTACCAGGTGCACATGAGCCAGTCGTGGCAACATTGCAAGCGCTCTGATACATGGTGTTAGGTATTGTTGCTACCTTATTAGAATATAGAATCTATCCACTATAGAAAGATGGGAGTCTTTAATAATTTTATTGAATTACAATTTGTGATTTGGTTTTAAATGAAAAATAAATTGCAATGCATTTGTGTTCACCTTTTTAACTGCAGCTATTTTCCCAGTGGGGTCCTTAGATATGAATCAGCCTGCTGTCACTACTGCTGCTATCATAAAACGCACTTGTGCGTTGGTATGAGTGTTGGTGCACTCAATCCAGCATTTAAAAGGAATTTTCAGCAGCTTACACAAAAAAGACTTTGTATATATTTATTCTACTAAATGCTATATACATTTAACTACGTGGTTGCACCTTTTCAATAGATAATTTTTGATTCTATACAAGGTAATTATCAGAAAATGAGAAATTTCTATCACGCAACAGAGAAAAAGTAGATTACACTCAAAAATTTTACCACTTTTGACATTTCAAATGACAATTCTCACTGTTGACAGTGGGGGTGACATATTTCTTTGGGTATGTTTGTATATGTGCCAAGAAAAGAAATTATTAAATTACAGAGCTGCCATGATCTACAATGTTAATGCTATACCCTCTACTCATAAGAGATGACTCGGACAATATACAAATTTAATTTCTTATAGTATAAACGTAGAATTAAAAAATATTAATATTTAGAAGCCAATTTGAATTTCATTGCTGAAAATGGAGTTCTTGAATCATGAAAGAGCGATTTATTGAATTTGTTTAAATAAATACGGAAGTTAAAATGGAATTTAGGGGTTACAGCTTTCAATAGCGATCTTGAAATAAAATTCCTTGCTCTTAGAAACTCACCCTAAGTAATATCCAAAATAAAACACTTTTTAAGACTTCGCGTGTTTTTCTGTTTCGTATTTTTGCATTATGTTCATTTTATTTGACAGTATAATAAAGTTAAATAGTTTACACTTAATTATGCAATGATAAAATTAGAAAATATACATTTATTTTGCTTTTAAATACATATATATGTATATTTATGCTGCTTTCCAAACGTATCAACACTGTAAGTGAATAACAGTTTTTTAAGAATCCAAAAATCTAATATAATGGTTTTTATTACTAAAAAAGCAACATTTAAAAATATATACGAATTGATAGCAATACACAGTTTTATTATTATATCAGTTAATATTTTAACTTTAAAATGTTTTATTGTAAAAATAAACCATATTCACTTGCAGTATTGCATGTCTTTTACGTCCTTGACATTTTTCATGTTTTCATACGTTTCATATCTGTAGCTTACAATCCTTTTATGTTTCATTATTCCACATAATCAAATAGCTTGCTTTACTATTTTTAAGCCTATGATATATTTATATTCTAAATTTCTTTTTGTCTTGGGATATATAATATAAAAAAATAACGTTTACAACGTTTATACGCATTTTTTTGTTAGCTCTTATATTTTACAAAATGGTTTCTGTTCACTACAGTATAAAGTTATATATTTTTTTTCAATTTCTTGCTTGAGGGGTTTTGTTCTATTTGTTGTATACATAATTTTTTTCTACTGTTTTGGGCTGGATAAGTGTTGTTTTTCACTGTTTTGTTTTCAATTTCTTACATTTTTTCTTGTTTATTCTCCACTACATTGAGACTTTAAAGTTTTTATTTCATTTTAAATTCCTTAATTCGTCGCCATGCTAAGCAATTAAATAATTTTGGCGCAAAAAGTGTTGATATGTCAAAGGAAACAAAAAGTGTGTAAAATTAAAATATTTTGCGAGTGCATAAGTGATTTTAGAATTATTCAATTGAAGTCCAAATAAACGGTTTTTTTTTTCGAGTTTTCGTTTGTTAATCATTGAATTTTGGAACCATTGCCGGAAATTCGTTCTATTTGAAGCTATATAATATTTTTTTGTTTACTGGGAGATAGAGGTAGTGAGCGCAGCTGAGAGCTTTGACGTGTATACACATACGTTTATAATGCTAAATATTATAATTTACGCGTTTTAGGTGGGCCGATGCATATTTGCTTGCGCTTAAAAATATTCAGCATTCGTATTTTAATACTAATATTGTGAAAATGTTATTTAAATAGTTGTTTAATTAGAGCAGTGTTGAGATGTAAATATGTAATATTCAGTGATTTGAAATTAGCAATCTATTTTATAGTTTGTTATATATTCTTTCTTTCCTCGTACGCAGGCTTATATCTAACCTGTATTTTTTTTTTAAGTTTTGTAAAGCTAAAGTATCGTATTTGCAAGCACAAAGTCGTATTACTATATTATATTTTTTAAGATCTGAAGCTAGGAAGCTGCGCTCAACATTTTTTTATGTAAATATATCGATATATAAAGAAATTAAGATTTAAAAGCCACTTCCAACACTCTTGTTAATCGACATTTATCGATTGTTCGCCGAATGTTGTCGCAGTTGGATAACGGAAACGGAAACACATCAGTTAGGAATTTTATTACAGGAATAAGTACCGAGTATTTTCAAAGTTTCAGTAAAGATTTTTGTAGAAATGTGAAATGAAATTAAAGAAATAATAAAATAAAGTTAAGAAGGTTTTAAGCGTAAATAAAATCGCTATTGCTTTTTGAACTCTGTCGCTAAAGAAGGAAATGAAACAACCAGCAAATTTAGCAAAATTTGGCAAAAATAGTAATAGTTTAGTAGCACTGAATAATGTTGCCCGATACCCTGAGCAAGTAGTAAACCACGAGATACAGGTTGAAATCTTATCTATATTCCTTCGTTTCAATTTTGAATTTCTTATTCTTTAACTTTACACTGAAAATAATTCAAGCAACATTGCAATATTTCCATTTAAAATTAGAATATATTTTATTGTTCGCTTGTAACTACAAAAAAAAAAATAAAACAAAATAAAATGGAAAAAAATGTGCAATATAGTAAAACAAAGACAAATAAAATAAGCCTACCGGAAATAAAAAAACAACCGTGAAGTTCAATAAATATACAATATAAAACAAAATAGAACTCAATAAAGTAGAATAATGAAATTAACAAAACTTACCGGAAATATAGCCATATTGCACAATAATATTAGTTAAACACAAACTATTTTTGTGCTTACGAAAAATAATATCAACGAATAGTACGAAAAATAAAAAAACAAAAAAATATTTTTTTTGTTTACGTTAATTTTTTTATTGCATAAATTAAAAACAATTACTTTTTTCGCTGGTTTTTGTTTTAATATACAATACAATATATAAATTATTTAAAATTAAATTAAATTGTTTTACGTACAAATTATTGTTACAAACTTTTTCTTGTTGAAGGAGTAAATAACGTTTCAGAGGATAATATTGTGCCAGGGAAAATAACTTAAAATTAAATATGAAAAAATCGGTTTTAATATATTCTATGTACGTATGTATACATATATAAATTTTAGAAATAAAAACAAATAAAACTTGTGAAAGAAAAGTTTTAATTAAAAAAATAACAACTTTTAAAAATACACTTTTCTTTTTCACTTTCAATTATTTACTAGAATAATATATAAATGGGTGTAAGGGAAAAACTGGTTGCTGGTGATATTGTAATATAAGACACTGTGAGCACAAAAAAAAAATGAGCAAATAATATGCAATGTGCATATAATAAGCAGTGATGCGGTGAACACGTATATACATACATATTTGTATTTATATAAGTTAATGAATATATTTGCATGTTGGGCTATGTGTGGCAGGAGAACTCTGCTTAATATGTAGTTAAAGTGTTACTACGTTTAGTAATTTCTACTTTTTGTTATTGTTTTTTTTTTACAGCGGATTTCTATGTATTATCGCACTTTTTCTGTGTACTGTTCTTTATTATGCAAATTTCTACATATAGTTACATATGTTTGAATAAAAAATATATAGATGCGCTTGAATTAAATATGTATGCATTTTTTTATTTTTGTTCACACTCAACACCTCTTTTTCTTTTTGTCAATCATTGCTCATACATTGTCGCTGATTATCTTTTTATTTAAATTTCTCATTCGTCTTTTAATTTTATTTTATTTCCACATATTCGCTTTCTTACACACTTTTGCACTGTTCATATGGTACTGCTTCGCAGGCTGTACACCTAGAACTATCCTTATATTATACGTCGCTCATTCTCTACTGTGTCCTACTCTCAGTTTCATTTTTTTTTATTTTATTTTATTGTTATTTTTTAATTCTGCAACTTGGGTTTGGTGGTTGTGGGTTTCATGATTTACATTTGCTTTTATGCATGTTTACATGAGTATCTGCCATATGTACATATTAATGGTATGTACGTATGTAACTGTATTCGTAATGCTTTTAGAGCTGCACTTAATAATAATTATAAACTTGATCAGCATCTTCTGTTAATTTGTTGTTGGTATAAGTATGTATGTATGTATGTAGTTTTGTATTATATTCACAGTATGTGTGTATATGCATTTATTTTGCTATAGCATACTTAATCTATATCTGTGTGTTATTTAAAAATATTAATGCATATTACTATCATCGTTTTGTTTCATTTCTTGTTTTGTATGTAAGTATGTGTACATATATGTATGTATATGTATGTAAGTAGTATTATTTACTTTGTTTTTGTTTTCCTATATCAGTTTAATAAAAAAATTGCAGCATTTTGTTTTAGGAAAGTAATTCGCGGGGGGATAGGTAGCGCGTTAATTTGTTTGTTTTCTTATTTTTTTTTACTTCTTTTTTTGTTGTTTATATATAAATATATATATATATATGTATATATCAATAATATTATACGTTTATATACATAAGTGTGTATATAAGTATGTTTATAAGTTTGTATGTAGGCTAAATTTCTTTTTGTTTTTTTTTTTTGTATTAAAAGCATAAAAACGCAAAATTATATATTAATAAACATCAATTCCCACTGATGTTACGTTTTATTACTTAAATCGGGCGGATTTGGCGGACTACCTTCCAGCTGCTGCTGATGTTGCTGCTGTTGGTTTGTTTGCAGTTGGTGTTGCTGCTGTTGTTGGTGCTGTTGCAGTTGATGAGGATGCTGTGTCGTCAACAATGTCGGCACAGATATTGTTGTCGCTTGCGTTATGACCGTTGTTGCTGTAATCGTCTGTTGCACGGCTTGTTGTTGATTTTGTGGATGTGTTGTTTGTATTTGCATTTGTTGTTGCTGCTGCAATGATTGCTGCATCTGCGCTTGCGGTGTGGACATTTGTTGATTTGTGTTGTTACTGTTAATAGAAAAAAGGGTGAAATGGAAATGAATATAAAAAGTTAAAATTTTTGCTAAGTTTTTATTGGAATTTATGAGAATTTCTAATTTTTACAATTTTTTACAATGAAAACTTGCCGGTTATCGTAAGTTTACTTTACTTTTTTTGCCAATTGCTTAGATTAACAGACTTATTAATAGGATAGATAGAGCTCCTCGGCAAAGAACATCAACGTATCCGAGAGCGTATTTCTAACTTGTAATGACAAGTCTCACATAAAAATCCATCACCCGTTTGGAGGCGCCGTGAAAAAGCTGTTAGTCCCACCCTTTTTAAAAAATTATCAAACTATCGAAGGTAGAAAATCCCTTCAGCGGCTTTAATGGCCATGTTTTGTGGGCTTTGCCTACTTTTTTTTACAATTTCGGGCACCTAAACTTCGCTAAAGCGATTTTCCGAGCAATTTGTGGTACGTTTTGTTGTTTTTCCAACTTATAGTTTATTTTAAGCCGCCTCCGAACGGCTGATGGTTTTTATGAAGAACTTTTATTTCATGTCAGAAAAATTCCCGGAGGACTTGATCTTCCCGGCCGAGGGCTGACTACAATTCGGAAAACTCAATTTCAATAATTTCCGATATCAGTTGAACCCTGGCCTTCTGAATGGCAGTAGCCATTACTATTCATTAGGCAATATACATACAACCTGAATATCGTAATTAAAAAAAAACAATAAAATTTTCAACGGCACTTAGCAAGTAATAAATATTTAAGTTCAGATTTATTATGACTCATTTGAAATCCCTAAAAAATCTTAATAGATTTAGTTTTTTCCTATGATGTTTCACGCCAATAAAAGGATGGTTTCAGTTTTAGGTTCGGTGTTTTTTAACTTACATTTTCGCAACACTATTCAGCGGATTATTGGAATTGCACAGAACGCTATATACAGAATCGACTTTGCTTAGTTTCTCAAACAACGGTATCAGTTCAAGTAATTCCGAATCACTTGTGTCATCAAACCATGACTTAACAGGAACCTGTAACAAAATATAAAGAAAATATTAATATTTTAAATTTAATATACAATAAATAGAAATTAAAACATACATTTTTACAAAATATAATTTTTTTCATTATTATTATTTTTTTTTTAATTTCATAAAGGGGAATTTCTTATTACAATAAATTTTTTTTGTTTCATAAAAGATCATTTATTTCATTATTAAACATTTCCAGTTCATTTGCCAAAATATTATTGTTTTCATTCTAATTATTATTATTTCTTTTAATTTTTTAATAAAAAATTTTCCAAATTTTTATATTTTATTTAAGTATTTTTTTTCATTGTTATTCTTTTTAATTTCATTGAATTAATATTTTTTTTATTCATTAAAGATTCACTGCTTTAATTTTTTTTATAAATTTTCTTTTTTTTAATTGCATAATAAAATATACCACCAACTCACCGCATTATCTGGATGAAAGATGTAACTCGCTGGTGAATTATCGACAATGACAATTTTTTGTAAATCACGTCCAAGACGATTTAAATCTTTTATATAATTTCCTCTGTAATAAACGCACGATTCCCTAAACAGTCTTGCACGAAACACATCCCATCTGCGAAGAAGAGAAAAACGAAAATTAAATTAATAATAAATACAATTACAAAACTTAAATTAAATTTAAAAAATTAGTAAATAAAATTAGTAAAATCCACTCACTTGTCTAACAGATCGGCAACGGGATCTGCATATTTGGCTAGTGATGCTGTAAATAAAACGCACTCATATAATTCGCCCATTTTTCGCAGGAACTCATCGACATAGGGCCGCTTGAGTACGTAAACTTGATGTATAGTGCCATCAATTTCCACTGGTACAATAAAATCAGCATTTGGAATCGGCTGGAATTGAAAATGGAAAAGACAAGAAAATTAAACAAAATTAAAAAAATCATATTTGACCTACATACTCGTATGTATAGTACCAATACCTTACACACATGCGCCTTAAGGTAGGCAAATTAAAATTTGAAAAGCCACTTTTACATAAATATATGCATATACGCTCATAAAACTTGCACAATGGCATTGTCTACTTTTAGGCGCATACACTTTGTTTTGCCCATATATATACATATAATATATATATACGCTCTTTCGCCTGCCAATTTCACTCACCTTAAAACTACTATGCACTAATGTCTCATCCAAATCGATCACCATGCATTTTTTATGCATATCCGAGTGCCTAACCTGAGGTAGTAGGTACCTTTGTTGGTCCGGTAATGGTGGCGGTGTTGTGGAACCATCGATTGATGTGCCATTTTGATTGGTTTTCGTGCGATTACGTCGCCAGCAGCATAAAAACGATGAAAAGAAGCCACGTTTTGGTGGTTTTAAACGTTCGACATCGTCTGCAAAGGTAAAGAAGGCAAGCAATTAGTTAATAATTTACATATATTGATGTGGAAATAGTTCGAATATTAGTGAAGAAAAGACTTTCAAAAAAAAATATGAAGATATAAATGAAATAAAATTTTATATTTTTCTTTACCAATTAACCTAAAATTCTACTTTCTGTTTCTGATCAATCAATACAAAACCAAAAACAATTTACGTAGAGTGTTAAACAAAAACTTTCTGAAAAAAAAAACACATTTTTATAAGCTTGCTTAACTATTTGGCATATGAATCAGATCGCAATTGCGCTTGAAAAAAATATTTATTAAAGACTTCTTCGCTCAGCAATTTTTATGCTCACCTCAATTGGTTTCAATATACATACACATATTTATTATGTTGTAAGAATTTGCACTTCCTGTTAGCGTCATGCAAAATATATATACAAGTACATACATATGTATGTAGGAATGAATGAATAAACTTAATTGCCTTAATTGTCAATGACCTGTTGACGCAGTGAAGACACAAGTCACGCCGCACCCATTGTTATGTGTGTATGAAAGCTTTCGCTTTCGTTAAATATGCTCTGCTAGCTAAGCGGTGGAGAAAAAGAGGTAAAAAAAAATAAAAAAGAAAAAAAAAATAACAGTTTGTCGTACGCTAAAAAGATTTATGTAAAAATTGTGTTTTAATGTTGCGACGGCATGCGTTGCAAAAAAAAAAGTGTATAGGGCTGAAAAAAGAATTTACATTGAAAACGGTTAAATCCAATAGTAAAGCTAGTAAAGCCTTCTGAAAAAAAGAACCTTAAGATATATGTATAAATAACAGGTTATTCAAGTAGAGGTCCTTTTTTCAAGTTCTGTAAGGAATGTTTTTCGCGTGCTTCTCTCAATTTAATGTGCGCTCTGAGAGATCTATTCGAAACACCATCACTCAGCTTGAGTGCCAGCTTTCATTATTGGATAATATTCGACCGAATATACCACGTTCATCACGCAGTGGAGAGAATATAGTAGCCGAGAGTAGCTGAGAGTGTACACGAAGACCGTGAAGAGTCGATTCGATTCAGTGCCGTTCGCAATAACTCGGATTGATATATGGAACGACCTGCTGCATTTTACGTCAAAATCTTAAATTGAAAGCGTATAAAATGCATCTAGTGCAAGAACTGAAACCGATAGACCTTCCAAAGCGACATCGCTTTGCTCTATGGGGCTCTTGGAAAGTTCCCAGAAAATCCAACGTTTTCGAGCTAAATTTTTTTCAGCATTGAGGCAAATTTCTAGCTCAATGAATTTGTAAATAAACAAAATCGTCACATTTGGAACAAAGAGAAACCTGCAAAAAATTCCAGAAACGGTATTTCATCCAGAAAAAACAACGTTTTCGTGTGGTTTGTGGTGAGAACCTAACCGGGAATGGTGATCGTTATCGCGCAACTCCTTGCGGGTTAGGTGGTCAAGAATTTACCCGCGGCATGCCTGTCGTAAGCGGCGACTAAAATCCAATAGTTCCCCCGACAGTCGGGTCTTTATACCGGAACGACCTGGATTTTTATCCCGTCAAGGACTGACACTCCCGCAACATTCACCAAAAAATACTTTGGGAAATATTTTTGCTGCTACAACAACAACAACAACAACATTATGGCGCCACGATAAGCCATTATTTGATTTCTGAAACTGAAGCGACATTTGTTTTCAACAAATACGGCGCCACTTCCCACACATCGCATCAAGTAATGGATTTATTGAGAGAACACTGCGGTGAGCAGTTAATTTCACGTTTTGGGCCGATCGATTGGCCACCAAGATCGTATGAAATCAAACCGTTACACTTTCTCCAAGTCTTAAGTCTATCCGAGCAATACCGCTTCGATTCAGATCTGAGATTAAACTCATGCTTGTCTTTCGCCAGGTACCAGTCGAAATGCTCTAACGACTTATCGAAAATTGAACTCAACGGATGGATTATCTGAGGAGCCAACATTTGAAAAAGATAATCTTCACAAAATAAATGCCAAAGAATGTTCTTGTGAATGATAACATATTCAAATGTTTGAAGTTCGAAAGCACTGAATTACCAATACTAATTATTGTAAAAATTCATTTTTTTAATTCTCAAATTACATTTTTTCAAAATTATAAAATTTTCAGATTTTTTTTATTCAATTGACAACTGAACCACCATAACCGTAAGCACATCATTCTCAAAGTACTACGTCACTAGTTATAATGTAATTAGTCTAAAACCAGTCCCGAAAAGCTTAAGCCTCTTTTTGTGACCATTTTATAGTTAGTGTGCGTATTTACATACAGACAGGCGTGTTTGGGTCAGTTCAAAGCTTAAGTGTGGTTTCTAATTTATATATATATATATAGTATATACATATATATATACAAAGGCACTTGTTGCTACCCAAACCAACGCGTGTACAGCACACTAAGCACTAAGCAAGCGTGCACATACCACAACACATAAAAGAAGAAATTAGGTCAAAGAGTTCAATTGACCATAAGGTGGCAGTGTTTAGGTGACATAGGGTAGCAAGCTGACACCTACAAAAACAACAACAACAAAAATATGGGAAAATAAAAAAAAATTGCTACGCTCATTACTTTCTTGGAAAACAAAACTTTTGTTGTCCACCAGCGAAAGAGAAAAAAAACAGCTTGTAAATATGTATTGTATACATGTGTTTGTGTATTTTGTTAACTAACAAAAAATTTTCTTCTCACTTTTTCATATTTTTTGGTGTTTTTTTTTTGTTAAATAAATATTTATTTATAGCTATGCTTTCTTTGCATGGCTATTTATGAACATACATACATATATATGTACCAACATACATACATACATACATACATACATACATACACTTTGTAGAATAACACCAGTGTTGTTAGTTATGCTTAATATTAATAGCTTTTAAGAGCTCATGCAAAAATTAATTTCCTGTTGGATAAACGCTATGAAAGAGTGGCAATAACAACAACAACAACTACTACTACACAGTAGTTGCATAAAAATTATAGTTAAGTAATTAAGCGGTATGCAGAAAAGCGAGCACATAAAAATTAGTAAGAACATGTATACAAACATACACATAAACAAGCATACATATGTATATATATGTGTATGCATATATGTACTACATACGCTTGTTCAACGACTGACCCAATTTCATTTGTGATCCGAGTAATTCAAACGAATGCATACGAAAAAAATTGGAGATTCAATGCATCTGCATGTAGTTATGTCTATGTGTGTGTGTGTATGAATGTATGTATATGCCAAATAAATATAGGTTATATAGCCAGTTTGCAGGTATATAACACGTACAAAAGCATATTTGTACGTATGTAGTATGTATATATTGGGGATGAAAGAGCAACAGTTGCCAATAAACAGACATTTATACATACATAAATATGTATGTACATTGGGATGTTAGTTGAAATTTAATTTTTTCGGCGCAAAAAAAAATATTTTATTGTAAAAAAAAACCTGGTATCTTGCACATATTTTTGTTTATTTACACCAGAACGCAAGGGTTTAGCAGTACGTGCGATCATGCAGAGGCTCATGTGTTCGAGCACTGACCAGGTCAACATCCGAATTTAGAAATTTTATTTAAAAAATTTAAATAATTTTTCTCTTTTTCCCACTTCAGCGGCAGGAAAGTCGTTGGTTTTTGGTTATGCTACCGAACGAAGCGCTCTTCAGTTGTATAAACGGTAGGGATGTAAGGCTTGGCGGAAGAACTCTAATATGAATGCTACAAAGCGTCACTGTCTTATTGGCAGATATGCTGGTAGATTAGGTCGAAGAAGAAGATACGCTTGAACATATGGTACAGAAAAAGGTTTGCAGCTATGGGTAACGGTTTTCTTGACGTTATCTCAGAGTTAGTTAGTTAGCTTTAGTTAGGGCGGTTCAGAGATGACTTGGTAGTGTGAAAGAATTTCAGCCAAAGTGGTAACACAGTCGGCCTACTAAAGGCCTTAGAGCGTGGTAAGACTCTAACTACCCATCTAAGGCTTAGTTCGTGGTAAAAAAAAACTATTAAGTTTCTGAATTATTTTAGTGAGTTATTAAAGGGCCATTTGGTTCGAGTCCAGCTTCGACCAACATCTAAAATTATAAAAAATTCATTTTTCTATGTGCGATCGCCCCTCGGCACTGAATGTCTAGCCCAACAAGTATATATCTGACATGAAAATCACAGCTCTTCATAAAAACCTATCAGTCGAAAATTCAGTATAAAAATTTCATAGAAAAATCATCTTGACTGATGAGGCCCATTTCCAACTCGATGTCTACGTTAATAAGATAACTCAAGATTCATTGTTGAAAAGCCTTTCTATCCTTAACATCTAACTGTTTGGTTGCGGTTCTGGTCCGGCGGGTACATTGAACCTTACATTTTTCGAAAAGTAATGAATTGCGCTATCGAGTGATGACAAACGATTTTTTATGACCGGAATCGGTTAGTATTGATGTGGACAACGCTCACACAAGTAAATCAACTATGGATCTTTATATTTTGAGGGAAAACTTTCTTTGAATATCAAAATTGCAACTTTTATACGTTATATACGTATATAAATAAAATTAAATTTGATTATGACTTCTAACAATATTTTTTTTATATAAAATTAAATGAAAGTTTTTTTTCCGAAAGTCAAAGTTTTAGGGGCCTACATTTTCTGAAATATAAATGCTTCCAACTTTTAAGTAAAAACTATAATTATTTATTCAATTACATATACGCCCGTACGTATGTACAAACATATTCAGCTAATGACGAAAATATATGTATTAAACATAAGTAATTTTATTTAAAAATTAATAAATAAATTAATAAAAATAAATAAATAAATTTTTAACGATCAGTCTAATGTATGTGTTAAGTACACACACATATGCAATAAAAAAAAACTTTTTAAAATTTTTATTTTTTAATATAAAACTATAGATAGCTACCAAATTCTTTCATTAAAAAAAT